CGCAGCCTCAGGCAAGGAGCACCGAACAAATTCATCCACAGGCAGATTGACAGACAAATACAACCCGACCCACTGGCACCTGAACCACATGGCGAAATGCCTGCGACATGAATGTCGCAGCTTACCATCAAAGCATCAACAAAACCAGGTGCGCAGCTTGCGCGAGAACGCATCTAGACGCCCTGGGCAGAATGACGTCTGCACATGCTTTCACACCTCGTCCCTGGACTGTGTCTCATTGGGGGCTTTTCTGTGTCCTCTCCACAGTGGGCACCATAAGAGGCTCTCCGCATGAGCACACTGCATGGCATCCTTGGGCTTTGGGAGATTTGGGAGACTTGGGGAGTTTAGGGGCTCCCCTAGGAGCTTAAAGTGTGGGGTCTGGCGCCAAGCCGACCCAAGCAGAGTGCCATTTCAATGCTCCCAAGGTGCAGGGGTTCGGCGCCCCTTAGGATTTCAGCCCATCGCGGGCATGAGTTTGTAAAAGTGGAATTTTGGGGTTTGGAGGTTCTTCTGGGTCAAAGAGACTTTCGGTTCAGGCCTCAAAAGAATCGTGGAGGCAGTCGCTGATGAGCCGTATTGGTTATTAGAAGTGTATTGCTTCTTTTCAGCAGATCCATTGTTGAGGCGTTTTTGGAATTTTGCCAACCATGTCACGACGCCACATGCTCTTCTGCACATTCGTCGCTGATGCAAAGCCCTGTGCCTGCAGGTTACACACTTTGGCCGGGAGCGAGCATGAAGTGACGTGATGCGACAGTTACAGGACACTGTAGACACAGGCCCAACCAACCACCTTGCTTCGTCGCCATGCCATTCTGCCATTGAGATCCATTTTGGGGCAGGTGGTGTCGTAGGCGCCTGGCACCCCAGTCTTTCCCTGTCTTTCGGCAACCTCAGGGGTCTGACGTCTGGGGGGGCGGGGGGCACGGGAATAATGATATCCATGCTGCGCCGCCGCCATCCTCCCAAGGGCCTATTTTTCACAGACATCGAGCCAGCACCCAGCAGGAAATGGCCACGCTTGTGCATCGTCTGTTCCGGCAAGACAAGACTGAGTTGGCCAAGCCGTGCATAGGAGACTGCTCTGGTGGCTTGCGGCCTATCTTCCCAGCGCCCTGTTTGTCATCGAAGAATGGAGCTGGGACCTAGGAAATGGCTTGCACGGTGCCGCCTCAACACATACCTCAACCGAGGAATGAGGAGGAATGAGTAGGAATGAGTAGTGGCACATTCCTTTGGAATCAGAGCACCGTGCTGCCCCGGAATGCCTGCATCGAAGCCTGAGGCCTCAGATTGCCCTGTGGCCTCACTGCAGGGTCCCTGCAGGGTTTCTGGGACACGGCTTTTTGGGCCTCTCGCCACCGTCGCCACCAATTACAATGTCCACCTTACGTTTTGAACCCCCGCGCCGTGCGACGACCGTCTTTGACCCTTTAACAATAAACCACGCAGCATCCTCTGCACGGCGCCATGCACGTAACCTGGTTTCTGGAACTTCCAGAGTCCAGGCACGAGCCCAGAAGTTCCAGGCACGCCTATCACGGCCATGATGCAAGGCTTCTTTGTTCACGAACAAACGTGCCCGACAAGACCTCTGGAATGCTGTGGGATGGGCTCATGAGTATCGCGCTACGGAGGCGTTGATGTAAGAGCCTTTCAGCCTTCTTGAGCGCGGCCCTGCACATTGCGAGCTCTGGAGGATGCCCAGTTTGCTCTTCACACTTTTCTGCACTTCTTGGCCAGAAGGGTTCTGGGCAGCGGCGTGGCAACGCTGCGACAATGACTCCACAGGCACGGAGTGCATGGAGTATCCGGTCTAAGGAACTTCAAGCCTTCTAAGCTGCTTGCAGAAGCTACTGGGCTTTTATGTGCTTGGTCATGTCTGTGGGGGTTCTACAGGCTGTCTGCCGAGCCTTCGAAGTTCCACCAGGCTGTACTACTTGACGTGCGGGCCTCCACCTGAAGGCACACTCGGCCCCACCTGGATGTGACGATGACTTGTGCCAGTCCCAGTGCAAGCATCTTCGTGTCGGCATGGCCTGCCGAGTGGAGAGAGGATTCCGTGGTGTAAGGCTTGGGATGCCCTCTACACGACATCAGCATACATCAGCCACAGCATCTTCATGTGTTAATGAGAAAGACACCGTTGCCGGGGTTCCCAAAAAAAGGGGCCGGTGACGAACTGACTGAACCTGCCTGGCACCGCTACTTCATGTCCGGCTGCCGTCTTATCCGTCTTGTCGTCATGCCTCGGCACTTGAGAGCACAATACACTCCTCTACATTCTCTACTCACAAAACGGCAAGAGAAGGCCATCCCAAAGGCACGGGGCTTTTCTCAAACCCAGAAGGAAACCCCAAAACCCTCCTTTGTTTTTTCAGGAACAGAAAGAGCACAGCTCCAAGCCAGGAGAGGCGTGGGCCCCCTTTCGCACGGCTGCATGCAGAAGAGTGGCATTTGTTATCGGGGCGTGGGCCTTCCCAGCTGCTTTGCGAGCCAAGTGTCCGACTCCTTCTCCGACTTCATTCACAGCCTTGCCATCTTTAGGGTTGCAGTGCGACTGTCAGGGTGAGGGCTTGCCGAGACCCGGAAAAAGCGCGCGCGCGCGCGCCCCAGTGGTTCGGATGACGGCTGTTCGAATCTTTTGCCCTCCCTGCAAGTGACGCTCTTGTGTTTTGCGCGTATTGTCACTCGGAGTCGCCACAGGCCTCTTCCAGAAGGATCATGAAGCCCTACCCGAACAATGCTACAGAACGGTGAACTCTTCTGAACCCTGGCCCCTCTGCACCTTGCCCCACGGTCCTTGGGCGCTGCTTTTAGCCGCAGATCCGACGGTTCATGCCCATGGCTTCCTCTGCACACCCGTACTGCCTTCTCTAGCCTTCTCTACTAAAGATGTTGCGGTAGACTACATAGGTTTCTACACGATGTCTTGTCCAGACTTGTCGAGTTGACAACGATGCTGCGGATGCTTGAACTGAGACGGAGACATGTTTAGAAAAAGAAGCAAAGTGCATTAGCTCCCAAAATCAAAGCACTGTTTCCCTAGGAGTGGAAGCGAGTACTTCCTAAACCCTAAACCCTAAACACCCTTAACCCTAAACCCTTAGCCCGTTTTTGCTGTATCAACAGCCGCCAGGGGAGCGATATTGCAGCAGGCAAGTCGCTTGCGCTGGCATATGTGGGCAACCATTGGCACAGCCCTTGCTATGTTGAAGGCCGAAGCCTTTTAAAATTAGGGATTGCCCAGGGCGGTTGCTGAGACGAGGCGGGGGCCCTCTGAAGGCCCAGCTAGGCTTCCTCGGAGCACCAAGAGAGGGAAAGCTGAGAGCTGCGCAGTACTCCACCGACCTCTTACGGTGAGGGCCAAGGCTCATTGAGAGTCTCGCACTCAGTGTTGACCGTGTTATAACGGTGCAAATGCTCGTTGCTAGCATCCATTGCGCATGGAACCATCTGGACAGAAAGCTGAGGCACCGAAGCCAAGGACCCCGAGTTGGATGCCCACAGCAGCTCAACGTAGAACATCCCCCCAAAATAAGCATCCCTTAGGTCCCTTAGGTCCAAAAGGGGCACTCACCGACCAGACTCTTTTCCGCAAAGAGTCCTCCTCGAACAAGATTCCGCAGCGACCGAAACTCACATTGCGAGCACCGAGTACCATGAGCACCACAAGCACCAGAAGCACCACGAGGGCAAGCAAGACCTCATCGAACGCGATGACTTTCTAAGCTCCGAGCAGCCATCACAGATGCCCTTAACTCTGAAAAAAGGCTCTGACTGCCCGAGGAGACCCCCGCAATATGCACTTGCGGACCGCGAAAGATCCAGGCGAATGCTACTGCACCGGCCCCCCCCCTTTTTGCCCACTACTGGAGTCGTGTTTTCCGGTGCTCCACAGCGACTTTTTCTACAATAACACGGTGCCATGTTCCTTGCTCAGTCTAATACAAGCTTTCTGCAGCCCACAGTCTTAGAAAGTTCCGAGCACAGTACCGGAATGCAGCTGTGCTTCAACGCAGAAGCCAGCGCTCTCTTCGTTTTTGGCCTCCGCAATCCGTGAAATCGAGTCTCTGCGGCCTTTTGGTCGACAGATGCCACGCACATCTGAAGTCTGCTCTACAGATAGAGGTTAGTCCCTCTACGGCCGTACGTACGTCCCAGGAGGTAAGAGGGACTGAAGCACTCAAGGGGCATGACCGGGCGAGAACAGCGCAGTCCCGAATACCGCCTACTTAACGCAGCAGAACTCCGATGTGCCACAGGGAAAGCCAAGCCTGAGACTGACGTTAAAGATTTGGTGCCACATGGCAAGCTTCGCGCCGCAACTAAACAAAAATAGTTGATGGACAAGCTGTCCAAGCTCCCGTCCTCTGGATGCCTTCTAAACGCCCTGTCCCTGGTTTGGCTCTTCTCAACAAAAACACGACGGGATTCTTCGCAGTACGCAGTGCCGCCTAAGCCAATAAAACATCTCAGGGTACAGGAACCCTGCTTCGTAGCGGGTTTTCTTGAGGCGGAGGTGCCGAAAAAAAAGAAACAACAATCAACGCTCTGGTGCTTCAATAGGAGTCCTGAGTGTTTGCGGAGGCAGTTCCGACATGAGATGTTGCGTCATGGCGCGAGACTCTTTGTTGCAGGAATGCAGCAGCAAGCCCCACCGCTAGCAAAGCATACCGCAGTAGCCACCTTCCCCCTCCTGTGATCTACCATTTGAGATTTCTAGCAATACATACATATATATATATATGTATGTATGTATGTGTATATATATACATATATGAACATATGTATATGTACATTTTTTATAATGCTTTTGCCATGTAACACTAGATGGAACATCTGATATAGATATAGCCTATATATTGTAAATTGCATACTATGCAATGTACACTCTCTCTATATATATATATATATTATTCGTTTTGTGATATTTGTCGAAAAGGACATGTGTTACCCATGTATCACATGGCTACCCAACTCAAGTTGAGGTTTTCCTAGCTTTGGCAGTAGCAGAGGGGCTGTACACTGGCGTATGGGTTTGTACCGCAGTTCAGGGAGTTGGCATTGCTCAAGTAGTAGCACTGGCCGTCGCTGGGCCTGTAGCCAGGGTTATGGCTCCTCGGATCTTCCAAGCTCTCTCAAAAAGTACTGCGGTCGTGCTGTGACTGCGGTGCTGTGCTGTGTAGGGCGCAGCCAAGGCTCAAGGCAGTGATCCCGTTGCACGTGTAGTTCAAGCTGTCGAAGACTCGCTTCACCCTCGCGGGCCTGCAGACACTTGGGTGTACTGAGCCTAATGATGTGTACATTAGTGTACATATGCCCTCAGAGCTTTTGGGGCAAACGGGTTGTGAGACCTGTAGATCTCGCCCATCTTTGCTGTGTCACACTCCACGTGGCCGTGGCTCGTGCACGTGGTGTTGCAGCTGTCGCCCAAGGCACCGAGGACCCAGATCCCAGCCTGCAAAAGTCTGCAAACGCCGCGCAAACGCCAAGCAACCGCCACACGCCACCACGCAGATGCCACGCAACGGTCATGCAACGCAAAAAACGGGCTGCTACTTATATGCACAGCTCGGCGCAGCTGCCAGCTGCACATAACTCAGGCAAGCAGCCCCGATGGTTGTGGTCAGGGTCGTGCTGTTGCAACGGCATATGGGCTGCAGACTTGCCTGCACGGTGTTTCCGCATTTGACCTGTTTCCAACTCAAGGGAGATGTAATGAGATGTACAAGGGGATTCATGAAATGGCACATGGTGAGTCTTCAGACACAGCTCTGCAGGCTCTGCCGCTCTAAAGCTTCCGCACCTGCCCAGACAGGGGATAGCATGTTTCGCCGCTCGGGTTGTAGGCAGGGCTGTTGGCAATAGGGTTGTAGGAGCTGCAGCTGTACTGGCCAGTGGTGTTCAGGCCGGCCAGCAGCCGCGAGATTCTCGGCCGAGTCTTGATCTCGCCCATCTCCTCCGCATCACACCCCGCATAGCCTTCGAACTCGCACAAATCATCGCAGCTGTCGCCGAGCTCGCCGACAAACCACAAAGCCTGGCAAAGCAGCAGCCGCTCCCCTCTTGCGGCGCAGACACGAATGGCTTCCGACTTCGAGCCTATTGCCCTATTGCCACTTGCAACCAGGCAACAGAAAGCGTCGTGGTCGATGTCGTGTCGCTGCACTTGCATACAGGCTGAATTGGATTCAGATAGCGGTCGCAGTTGAGGGTGCCCTGCAGGTAATGGCACTTGTCATCACTCTCAGTGTATCCTGGGAATTGGTTGTTGAGCGGACTGCCGAAAAAAGCGCAGCTGCTGTTCAGGCCATTCATCAACCTCGACATAATGGGCTTCCTGACGAGTTTGGCCGTTTCCTCTGCATCGCAACCTGCATATCCTTTGTATCGACAAAGATCGTTGCAAGTGTCCTCCGGCTCACCCACGAACCACAGAGCCTGGCAACAGCGACGTGCACCGCTCTAGCTTCGGAGAGGATCTCATCTACGTCGCACACTCTCTCTCTCTCACACACATAAGGAACATCTCTGCGCTGACACTGTGCACCTGATGCAGTCGAGTAGCCAGTATTCTTAAAGGAATGGAACCCTTGGAATAAAGAACCCCTTGGCAGACCGCTGCAGCCATGCGACCGACAGCGTAGTGGTCGATGTCGTGTCGTTGCAGTGGCATACCGGTTGAAACGGATCATAATCTTTGTCGCAGTCGAGGGTTCCTCCAAGAAGGTGGCAATTCCCGGTAGCCTCGTTGTATCCGGGGAAGTAATTGTTGAGTGTGCCGCCAAAAGACGTGCAGCTTATGTTCAGGTGGTCCATCACCCGTGTCAGCCTCGGCCGCCTGAAAAGTTCTCCGGTCTTCTGTGCATCACAGCCCGTGTATCCCTTGTAGCGGCAAAGATCGTTGCAGGTGTCTTGCGGGTCACCCACGAACCACCGGGCCTGTCGCACAACAAATGGCAGCTTCGCTATTGGCTTAAAGGAACGGAACCCTTGGAATAAAGAACCCCTTGGCAGACCGCTGCAGCCATGCGACCGACAGCGTAGTGGTCGATGTCGTGTCGTTGCAGTGGCATACCGGTTGAAACGGATCATAATCTTTGTCGCAGTCGAGGGTTCCTCCAAGAAGGTGGCAATTCCCGGTAGCCTCGTTGTATCCGGGGAAGTAATTGTTGAGTGTGCCGCCAAAAGACGTGCAGCTTATGTTCAGGTGGTCCATCACCCGTGTCAGCCTCGGCCGCCTGAAAAGTTCTCCGGTCTTCTGTGCATCACAGCCCGTGTATCCCTTGTAGCGGCAAAGATCGTTGCAGGTGTCTTGCGGGTCACCCACGAACCACCGGGCCTGTCGCACAACAAATGGCAGCTTCGCTATTGGCTTAAAGGAACGGAACCCTTGGAATAAAGAACCCCTTGGCAGACCGCTGCAGCCATGCGACCGACAGCGTAGTGGTCGATGTCGTGTCGTTGCAGTGGCATACCGGTTGAAACGGATCATAATCTTTGTCGCAGTCGAGGGTTCCTCCAAGAAGGTGGCAATTCCCGGTATCCTCGTTGTATCCGGGGAAGTAATTGTTGAGCGTGCCGCCAAAAGACGTGCAGCTCATGTTCAGGTGGTCCATCACTCGTGTCAGCCTCGGCCGCCTGAAAAGTTCTCCGGTCTTCTGTGCATCACAGCCCGTGTATCCCTTGTAGCGGCAAAGATCGTTGCAGGTGTCCTGCCTCTCACCCACGAACCACCGAGCCTGGGACAACGGCAATGCAATGCTCAGATCGTTTGTTTATGCAGTCCCTGTGCCATGGCGGGTCGCCTGCCAGAGTCTTTCTACAACCAGTGGCGGGCAGCCATGTTTTTTGCAACCATGATAGGGAAATGTGCTGCCGAGAAGCTGACAGCGTCGTGGACGACGTCGTGCTGTTGCAATGGCATACGGGCTGGAATGGATGCAGGGCAGCGTCACAATCTAGGGTTCCGCCGAGGTAGTAGCACTTCTCATCACTTTCAGTGTATCCTGGGAAGTAATTGTTCAGGACGCCGAAGGAGATGCAGCTTTTGTTCAGGGTGCCCATGAGATCTGAGATGTTCGACTGAGTCACAATCTCTGCAGTCTTCTCTGTGTCGCAGCCGGCATACCTACACTGACCTACACCACATCGCTGCCATGGTTATGGCGACAGAACAAAACAGGCCATGCGCAAGACTTCTGAGGATACAACCTCTTAACAGTCTTAACAAACATGCGGGACAAGGTCAGCAAAAGCCGTCACCCAGATGCCCCTTGAAGTGGCACAGGTCGTTGCAGCTGTCCTCCGCGTCGCCTACGAACCATGGGACCTTGCACTCTTTGCATACTTTTACTCAGACGAACTCTTTAAGATTCGCGCCTCGGCGCCGAGAGGCGTCTGCAGACCAAGATTGGTCTCCTTCCCCCTCCCACACCCGCATTGTGCCCCCCCCCCCCCCCCACCCCCGCCCTGGGACCCCCGTGCATTTTGCTGAACCTGATTTTCACATATGTTCACCACTTCGCTCATCTGTGTTTCTACAAAGTCACAAAAACACAAGAGCAAATGCCCCTTCCAATCCAGTTTCGAAGCCCTTGCCAGGCCTTTAGTCCCTCGACGTATGAATCAGCATCCGAAGTACGGGCATAAGCTGGGGCAAGACGATTTGGGGGAGTCGGTTGGAACATGGTCAGATCTTCCCAGCCATAGGCCGCGGGCTTCGCAGAACAGCGGATGAATCGCAATCACGTGTCATCATGTGTCACTTCATGAATCCTACGTAATTTCGGATACCGACAGGTATTGCACCCCCTCACTGCTGGTGGATTTGATCGTGGAGGTGGCCGGGCAGGGGCCGTGTCGCAACTCACGCCTCCAAAACTGAGCTCCGCACCACGGTCGTTGTCGTTGTGGATGTTGTTGTTGTGGTCACCGTGGTGGTTGTTGTGGTGGTGTGAACCTGGCCGGTCGGCCCAAAAGCTGGGCAACCAGAAACAGCATGGACCGTCATGGACCCCTTCACTGAGCCACTGAGCCACTGAGCCGAGGACACTCCACAGGACCGGAGGGTGGAAGCACAGGGAAGGCACGGGACTGTCACACTCGGCGTAGAGACGGCAGTTCTGGTCGCAGGAGTCGGGCGCCGCATCCTCGCGCACACGGGCGTCCATGTAGAAGGCCATGACCTTGCAGTCCTCAATGCTTTCGCAGAAGCTGCGGCAGAGACTCTCGTTCGCGACCTGTGCGGCAAAGACCTGGCTGCGCTGGCAGAACTGGCCGTTCAGCTCGAAGTCGGCGGTAAACTCCTTCTCAACTCTCTGGGCAGCTGCGTCCTTGACACTCTTCTCGAAGTTGGAGGGTGGTGTGATGTCCTTGCACACCGACGTGCGCTGGAACTGGCATGTCTGGTAGAGTGCGCAATTGTAGCATCGGCTTGGGGCCTCCAAACTCACCGAGCTGCCGTGCCAACCATAGAAGTTGCAGCTCGCATCTGACGCGCAAATCTGCTGGCACACCTCTCGGCTTGCGACATCTTGGTATGTGGCGTAGGCAGCTGTGGTGCCATGGTGTGCATCATAGCAGTAAAAGCCATATAGCGATGTCGCGTTGGTGAAATTTACTTGCATCTCGGAGCGGTCTGTCGCAGCCGTTCCCATGACCTGACGGAGACGATGCCAACTCTTCCACTGACTCTGCTATCTTTGCTGACTTGGCGCTTGCCTCCATATGCTGCTGTTCTCGTGGAGGCTCTTGCCCGGAACACAATACGTCTCTATCATTACTAAATCTACCGCCTCCCGTTCTGGCTTGCATACAAGACTGCATGGTCTGTGACATTCCCCGAGCACTCTACGGCCTTTCTTTGCGCTGACTTGCTGAAGGCATCGCGAGCCGTTTGTTCACGTCCACGAGAGTCTGAGTCCTCTGCACTGAACATGCTGACCCTACGCGATGCACACCGTCGCAGCTGTTACTTTTTCGTACTTTCTGCATGCTACATGCTCCTTCTCCACGGAATCTTTTTGAAGAGCATGCGAAATCTTGGCTTGCATGAACCCGACCAGGTCGCCGGTGCCATTCTTGAGGGGCTGTGTGACTTCGTCACAAGACCCAGCCTCTTCGGCCAAAGCCATGCCTACCATGCCTCCCGCACACACAAGGAATCTTAAACACATCAGCATCCCACCGGAGCCGCGCATGGGTTTCCCGCGACAGGTGGGAGAAAGCCTTTGGGCCATCAAAACTGCGGAGAAAACGAGGAACGAAGAGTGCATGAGTGCATCTCCACACGAAGGTCTACAGAGTCTCAGACGCTCAAACTCCTCAGGTTGGCCACGCGGCTCATGCGGCTCGTGGATTTGAAGAGCAGGCCCCCCCCCCCCCTTTTCTCTCCCCTGCGCTTTGGTGCCCTCGGCTGTTCTGCCGTGGAAGTCTGGGAGGGGCTACAGGGCTTTGCTTGGCGCTTCAGCGCCATTTCTAGCAACAGCTTCAGGGTGTTGAATGCTTGTCTCCACGGTGCCGGCCCGACTCTACCCGCCAAGAACGAGCCTATTTGGGGACACCCCCCACCCCCCCCCCAACGATCACCCTTGTTGCTGTTTGCCCTTGTGCTGAGTTTGGGATGCGAACACATCACTCGGTTTGTGGAGTCTGGCCATGCATCCCATCGTTCACTTTGTGCGGAAGTGTGGACCACCGGGGAAGGGGCAGGCATGCATGTGACTACATGTGTACTTGTGTACTGACACACCTAAAAGCCAACGAGCAGACTTCAACATGACAATTATGAGAAAGTCTGCATGTTTATGCAATTCTACACCGTTCAGTCATCACTACAGAGCAAGCAACAATGCGTGGTGCTGCCCGAAGCTCACTAAAACCTGATGAGCTTCGGCATACGGTTGGCTACAAGAGCTCGCAGCAGTCGCAACACGTTCGGATTCACGATGACTCACCCTTAAAAAAAGAACCTATATATAAGCACCAAAAAACCCTATAAACCCTACAAACCCTAAAAACCCTACAAACCCTAAATAACCCGAAATAAGCCTCTAAATAACTCAAACTGTAAATCTCAAGGGCTGTACAAGGTTGGCACTTAGGAGCTGCGCGATGCCCTGCTGGTCTTTGGCACAGCATGCGCTCCAAGAAGTGCTCCATAGTGCTCCTCTTTGCTTCAAACTGCTTCAAAAAAAAACGCGAGGGGCCGAACCTACTGAGCCTGAATGCTGGGTTGATGGCTGTGACACTGTGAGATGCTTAGAGAAAGGATTCGCATGATCATGGGCCCGGCGAATATCACAGCCATCTTTGCGCAAGCTCACAACACAGGGTTTGGAGGGGGTGGAGGGTTTGGGGTTTAGGTCAGCCGCAAGCGCGTTCACCGCGCCAGGACAAGGAAGAGCCCAAGCACAAGGACATGGCCGATCCTTGCCAAGATGTCATGTGTGGAAGGATCATTAGAAAACTGTTATTTGTGAAGCCGGTTTTTCGTTTCTGCTTCCGGGACGCTCGATTTTCCAGCCCCGCGTTCCTCCTGAGCTGACTTCGACTTGTTGGCGATGCAGGCACTCATAAGCATGGGAGAGCTTGCTTCTGAAATTTTGGGGGAGCCGAGTGAGCTGAGCTGAGTCCCAGGCTGGACAGCGCCTCGTACTCGTACACGTACAGGTCGGAAAGCACACCACCTCAGTTGACATTCACCGACCTTCCCCTTAGCCCTTTTGTCCTCTTCGAGAAATGAGAGCTTTTCCATGACCGGCCAGGTGTCCGGTGCTTCCGTTGTAGCCGCCGAAGACATAAAGCGCATCGCGCGGGCTCAAGGAGGCGACGTGACCCCATCGGCCGCTTGGGGCCCCGCTTGGGCTCAGCTGCAGCCAGCGGTCCGCCTCACGCGCAAATCTCCGAATCTTCACCGGGCTTCTCGCTCTCTCCTAAACTAAAGCACCACACTTTGCCCAACATCTTGGTGCTCCCTCCCTCGGCCTGGCGCTCATAGAGGTGTAGGTCGCTCAGGGGTCCTCGGCTCTCAGTCTCCCATATGCCCCACTTTCGCATATCTTATCTTATTGCATCTTACTGAGGCCAAGGGGCCGCTACCGCCGTCGCCGCCGAAAATGAAGAGGCCATCGGCGGCAGGGCTCCAGACCATGGCGTGCCCGTCGCGGGCACTGGGTGGAGAGCCACTGGGGCTCACTTGCAGCCAGCGATCCGCCTGCAAAAAAAAAGTTGACATCTTGACATCCCCCCCCCTCTTTGCTAGTCAAGTCTTCACTGGGCCCACCATGGCCCACATTGGAAACACTTCCGCGCGTGCAGCAGGGCGCGGGGGGGGAGGCGGGGGAAGGTCGCGGGCCTTGGCATTCGGGGTGCTGCGCTGTTGAGGGTCTTGGCTCAAGTGGAAGTGCACGGGCTTCACGTGTTTTAGGTTCAGACCCAGTTTTTCACACGGAAACAACGGCCGAGCTGAGGGCAAGAAGAGCCGCGGAACTACAGCCGAAAGCCGGACGAGCCTGGCGCTCATAGAGGTACAGGTCGTTCAGGCGACCTTGCGGGTTCAAAAGGGATTCTGGGGCCCACATGTGTCCACATCATTGTGGCTGCATGCGCTTGAGGTCCGTGCCGACTGTCATGGTGGCGTCGAAGCCTTGTCCTCCGAAGACGTAGAGGCCGTCGGCGGCAGGGCTCCATGCGGCCGCGTGCCATGTACGGGCACTGGGCGGAGACCCGCTGGGGCTGAGCAGCTGCCACCGATTTGCCTCACAATCAGCCAGAAACCCAAACAGAAAGACCGAGAAATACCGAAACATCGAGAGATACGGTTCAAATGCCAAAAAACAACAAAAACCCGCACTCATTAAGTCAAGCTGGGCCTGGCGATCGTAGAGGTGCAAGTCGTTCAGGCGACCTGAGCAGTCGGACGCGGTCTTAGCCGGGAGTTTAGGGTCCTCTTTATAAAGGGGTTTAGGGTTTAGGGTTTAGCGTTTAGGGTTTAGGGTTTAAGGTTTAGGGTTCAGGGTTCTGAGGCTCGCGCTGAGGCCACCGGAGAGGGAGTTGTAGCCGTAGCCCCCGAAGACGTAGAAGCCGTCGGCGGCCGGGCTCCACGCCGCCGCATGAAGGTGGCGGTCGGGTGCGGAGCCACCCGGGCTCAGCTGCAGCCATTGGTTCGCCTACCCAACAACAACTCCCTGGGTTCATTATGGGGATTATAAGGCCCAATAGCCCCATCCTGGTCTTAATGACTCAATGACTCAACAGTCAGGTGTCCAGGAAAGCTGAAAAAACTGAAGATCATTGGGGCGAGATGTGTTCACGGGGTTTCGTAGATGTGTGGCAAGCGTCGGAGGGGAGTTTTGGGTCGTTTCGACTTCGGCTCCATTTGGCGGATGTTGAGGGCAGTTCTCAGGTTCCCTCGAAGATGAGTCGGCACATGTCTGCACACTTGCCTCTCTTTAACTCTGCATCCCACAGCCTCACGCTTGTAGAGGTAGAGCCCGTATGCTTGGCCTGCACACGGCGACGCCCCGTCTCACAGAAACAGAAAAGCTGGAAAAGTCTCACACAACTACTGGGGGCCAAACAGAAGCAGGTGACATTGGACGAACCTTGCAAGCCTAAAAACCTTCCAAAAGACGAACCCTCGGCGAAGGGAGGTTCGACCAAGGAAAGAGAAGGGTTTTGGAAGCTGTGCTTGCTGAGCTTGATGTGTGCATCTGACCCCCCCCAATGGTTGACGAACCCTGACCCTGAACAAGCCTCGACGAAGAAGGGGGGGGGGGGCTTCGACGAAGGTGCGAGGGGAAGGCCGGCGGACTTAAATGAGCTCTGTGCAAGGTTTGCGTGTGGGGGGGGGGGGGGGGATCCCTTTCGTTTGCCCCTGAAACGATGAGCAAAAGAAGCAACATGAGACAAAAAACAACAAAAAACAAACAAACCTTGAGGCCGGGATTCCGCTGACGCCGTTGCCCCCGAAGATATAGAGGCCGTCGTCCGAAGGGCTCCACACCGCTGTGTGCCCTTCACGAGCCGCGGGTGCGAAGCCGCTTGGGCTCAGCTGCTGCCAGCGATTCGCCTTCATTCGAAGCGCAAAAAAAGGAGAATAAAAAACAACGACCCATTCGAATCCTAAACCAAAAAGCCTTCGAACAAGCCCAGGAAGAAAATCCGGAAAACCCCCCTCACCGTTCCCAGTCCTCTCCTCTCCCTAAACCTCCTCCCAAACCTGGTCCGCCCTCTTATATATTTTTCTCTCTCTCTCTCTCTCCCCCCCCCCCTTTTGCTCCTTTTTCTTGCCTGTCTCTCGTAGAGGCGCAGGTCGCCGAGGCGGCCGCCGTGGCTTCCGTCCCAGCCCCCGAAGACGTAGAAGCCGTCGGCTTGGGAGCTCCAGGCCCCCCCGTGGTAGGCGCGGCCGGGCAAAAAGCCGCCGGCCTGGAGCTCGAGCCAGCTGGCCTCTGGCCGGGGAGTTTGGGCCCCCTTTCTTTGGAGGAGTCCTACACCTTTTTTTTGGGGGGGGGGAGCCTTCAACCCTACGTTGCACTGTGCAGAACCGAAGAGCAGCCCCTTGAAATTGAGAAGCTCCCACTCTGAAGCTGCTTCGGCCTGAGCCCAGCTGGTGCCCAAGAGCGCCAAGCGAGCGAAGACATGGCTCCTCTGCGAGAGAAAAAAAAACGAGGGGCTGCTCTTCAGAGAAAGAAATTCTCCTGGGGTGCTTATAAGGCTTTCTGTTTTTTAGGGTTTAGGGTTTCGGGTTTAGGGGGTTTAGGTTCTGGGGGGCTGGGTCTTAGGTTGTGAGAGTCTGGGGCGCGGGGTGGGGCGCGGGGTGGGTGGGGGCGATCCCAGTTCGAACCTTTGGGAGCTTCTTGGAGCGTTGACAAGCCTTCGGTTCTGATGTCAGGCTTTGCGGGGGTTTTAGGCTTCGGTTTGGGATCTAGGGTTTAGGGTTTATAAACCCACATGGCAGGGCTTGACCGAAGTGCGCCCTTAGCGGAATCGACTTCTGAGATCCCCCGAAGGGCCCCAGAATGGCTTCAGGCCACCCAACAGTTCAACACCCGTACCCTCAAGGCCCCGAAGGGGAGCGGCCACGAGGAGCCAAGGCGCTTGCCCGCCATCGGTTCCGCGGCCTTGTAGTTTCGGCTAAACTTTCTTCCCCACAGACGCAGGTGCTTCCACACAGGAGGGGGCAGATGAAGGCTTCGGGCGGTTGGCTGCTACCTTTGCTAGATTCTGAGCTAAGACCTGTACCAGCTCCACCTGGGCTTCAGACGTGCATGGGTGCTTGAGGGAAGCAGCCGCGTGTGTTCCCGAATCCACCGAAGCCCAGAAACGTCAACGTGAGCCTCTCACACGCACAGCAAACCAGGGCACCTGGATGTACCGCTGCCCGGGAGCAGCCAACAACCCCGAGAACACCGCGGGCAAAATTCCGTTCTCAATGCGTTCAATGCGCTCTTGGCTATCCAGGAATTGGCTCAACTGCCCCAACTGAGCCATCAAGCTACAGATGCAGCGGGCTTCCCAAGCATGACCTCCCACACAGAACTGCAAGTCTCCAAGCCATAACAAAGAAGCGCACTTCTCTGGGCGATTCGGAAGTACATCCCGTTTCAGATAATGTTGGGAAGCGCAGAAGGTTCAAGATCATTCTCGATAGCAACAGTTGTCACGAAATAACTCATATGCACCTGAGTGCTGTACCAGCAGCGTTCTCGATATTATTCTTGAGCACATCCCCTAAACCCTGAACCCTAAACCCTAGACCCTAAACCCTAAACCCCAATCCCTAAACCTAAACCCTGGATCTGTTGTGTGTTTGGTGGAAGTGTCGGACCGAGGTTTGATGCCCTCATGAAAGTCTAGTCTGAAACAGTGCCGACATTGAAATGGGGGGGAGAGAGGGCGTTGGGGTTCTTTTCAGGCGAAGCGAGGTGTAGGGCTTCAAGGATTTACTAAAAAAAGCGAACCCCTAAACCCTAAACCCTAAGCGCCTAAGCCCTAAACCCTAAACCCTAAACCTTAAACCCAAAGGGTAAACCCTAACCCCTAAACTTCCTGTATCTTTTCTTCCAGCCGCTGCGCTCCCAAAACGCTTCTTCAGAGGATTCCCAGATCCTGGCCCTTGACGGCCCGCAGCGGGAGGTCCTCGCGCTTGGCGCCCGGCCGCGGCGCCGGCGCCGATTCTCGCAGGGGCTTCGCTTCTTCGGTTTTTTTTTTTTTTTTTGGGGGGGGGGGGGGGGGGCTGTCTTAAAAGGGATTGGGGTGGCTTAGTTCTTACACAAGCACCTTGCGTGCCCTCGAGATCCTGGAGACGTTCTGCGCTTCACAAGGAGTACTGGTCTCGGTTTTTCAGGGATATGGGTGGGGACATGCAAACTCTCCAGTACATCCCTAAGCATCTTTGAGCCGCGATTCTAAGATTCTAAGACCTTGTGAGACCTTTACGTTTCAGCAAGACGAAACGTTCGGAAGACGATACGACGACACGGTTCATCTGGTTCCATACAGGCGGGGCTGCTGATCGCTCATGTTGAAGGCGTGGACTTTCGCTAACCTGCAGAAGCCTTCGACCACGCCTCTGCTTCCAGGCCACGTCAAGGCTCGAGACCTGCAAATGTCGAAGCCGCAGCTTCCTTTTCCTCGCCTTGTGCGTCCACCGAGAGCGTCAGGACGCGCCGCGTCCACCGAGAGGGTTGTCGTTTGCGCCCAAGATTTCGAGGACGCCCCACGCGCCAACCGAAAGGGTTGTTGCTTGCGCCCAATATTCCGACGAGGCTCCATGCGCCAGCGTCACGACACCCCGTAAACACAACCCTCTCTGAGGAGGCACGGCGGGTCCTGCCAACCCTATCCCGCGCTTTAAAATACATTCTCCAAACTACCAACGTACCACGAAATCGCGATCCATCACGACATCCATCCATGCATCAACGATGAAGAAGAACCTTCTCAAAGACCACCTCCGCTGAAAACCCTCGTCACGCTTTCGGGAAAACCCCAACCCTAAACCCTAAAACTGCAAGCTCGAAATCCTAGGATAATACTTCTGAACCACCTAACTCTATAGCACATAACCCTACACCACACAGCCGTAAAACCCTACAACCCTAAACCCCTACAACCCTCAAGTCTCGCTTTCAGGGGTTTTGGGCTGTCACGGTCTCGTCCGCTTCTGGGGCTTTTGGGCTGTCACGGTCTCCAGCAGTTTTGGGCTGTCACGGTCTCGTCTGCTTCTACGGGTTTTGGGCTGTTACGGTCTCGTCCGCTTTGTGGGGTTTTGGGCTGTCACGGTCTCGTCCGCTTTCAGGGGTTTTGGGCTCTCACGGCCTTGTCCGCTTCAAGTCCGCTTCTCGAGGTTTTGGGCTGTCACGGTCTCGTCCGCTTCTAGGGGTTTTGGGCTGTGACGGTCTCCTCCAAGACCATTCCAGACGCACCTCTACGCACCTCTGAGCCGAACACCCCCCTCCAAGATTCTTCCAGACGCACCTCTAAGCCAAACACGCCCCTCCTCCAAGCCTGAAACACGCCCCTCCAAGCCAAACACACCCCCTCCAAGACGCACCTCTAAGCAGAACACCCCTCCAAGACCCTCCCAGACGCACCTCTAAGCCAAACACGCCCCTCCTCCAAAAGCCGAACACACCCCCTCCAAGACGCCCCTCTAAGCAGAACACCCCCCCTCCAAGACCCTTCCAGCCGCACCTCTAAGCCAAACACGCCCCTCCTCCAAGCCAAACACACCCCCTCCAAGCGCACCTCTACGCAGAACACCCCCCCTCCAAGACCCTCCCAGACGCACCTCTAAGCCAAACACGCCCCTCCTCCACAAGCCGAACACACCCCCTCCAAGACGCACCTCTAAGCAGAACACCCCCCCTCCAAGACCCTCCCAGACGCACCTCTAAGCCAAACACGCCCCTCCTCCAAGCCAAACACACCCCCTCCAAGCGCACCTCTAAGCAGAACACCCGCACCTCGAAGCCCCTCCAAGACCCTCCCAGACGCACCTCTAAGCCAAACACGCCCCTCCTCCACAAGCCGAACACACCCCCTCCAAGACGCACCTCTAAGCAGAACACCCCCCCTCCAAGACCCTCCCAGACGCACCTCTAAGCCAAACACGCCCCTCCTCCAAGCCAAACACACCCCCTCCAAGCGCACCTCTAAGCAGAACACCCGCACCTCGAAGCCCCTCCAAGACCCTCCCAGCCGCACCTCTAAGCCAAACACGCCCCTCCTCCAAGCCAAACACACCCCACCTCTAAGCAGAACACCCCCCTCCAAGACCCTCCCAGCCGCACCTCTAAGCCAAACACGCCCCTCCTCCACAAGCCGAACACACCCCCTCCAAGCTCGAAATCCTAGGATAATACTTCTGAACCACCTAACTCTACAGCCCATAACCCTACACCACACAGCCGTAAAACCCTACAACCCTAAACCCAAACCCTACAACCCTCAACCCCAAACCTGAACCCTTAAACCCTTGAACCCCTCCTCGAATAATGCTTCAAAGGGGTTTTGGGCTGTCACGGTCTCGTCCGCTTCTAGGGGTTGAACCCCTCTCAAGCCCAACCTAAACCCTCAAACCCCCCCCCCTTCCCCCCCCCCTTAAAGCCACCGGGAGGGGGGCGCCTTTCACCAGCTTGCAGCGCTGGCAGATGTCCTTGCGCAGCTCCTGGAATCCGGTGAGCCAGGCCGAGGAGCAGAGGATCACCTTCTCAGAGGGCTCTCTCGCAGCTTCTCGTGTGCTTTTTTTTGGGTTTGGGGGGTGCAAAGGCCTGATGAGGTCAAGCGCAGCCCCTTGAAGTGTGGAAAAGGGGGCGCAGTCAACGCACTCTCGGGCTCCTAACAACCTCCTAGTTATCGGGGGCTCAGTGGTGTTTCATCTGTGACTTAGGGGTTTAAACGGTTTAAGGGTTTGGGGAATGGATGGATCGCCTTGCGCTCCACCCGCTTGTAGGACTCGAGGTCGGAGCGTACCAGGCTTGCGATCTGTTCAGACAAGGGGGGGGGGGGGGGGGGGGGGGGGGGGGGGGGGGGGGATTCAGGGGTCTTAGAGGGCCAGAAATATGGCCTGTCCCTTCACGGCCCCACCCAAAAGCAATGTTGAAACTTCATGCCCCCCTTTCCGGGACTTGCTCCCGTGAACCCTAAAATAACCCACTCAGCAACACGAGGCGCCGTCACAAGTGTTCATGCCATTTGCGGACATGCCCAAAACCCTGCTATTTAAAGCGTTTTTGCCTCTTATGCAACATGTTGCAGTAGGATGTTTGAATTTTAGCAACACGAGAAGCTGTCACAAGTGTTCCAGCCATGTTGTGAACATGCCAGAACCCGGCTATCGACAGTGATAAGTTTGCCTCTGTATACAACATGCGTCTCATCGAACAAATCTACAGTTGGGTTTGGCGCTCGCAACGTCGCGTATCACTTGGACAGTATGCGAAAATGAGTGCCCTAAGTTTGAGTCCCTGGATTTCTTGAAGCACGACTACCTCCATTTCCACAGCCACACGCACGAAGCCCTGTAATTTACAGAGCCCCAATGCCTCGATAAGGCGCTTGTCGGGCACCAGGTCGCACTTTGTGAGGACCACCTGATGGGAGAGCATTGGGGTTTAAGAGTTCAGGGTGTAGGGTTTGGGGTTTAAAGGTTCAAGCTCGGAGTCCTCGAGCTTCTGGTTCTGGGCTGTACAGAGTTGGATTCGAGGTTTAGGCTTTTTGCTGATAGGGTGGAGGTTGTTAGGGCTTGGTGGCTATAAGGTTGATAATTAGGGCGTAGGGTAGGTGGGAAGCTGTGCAGCCTGCTTCATTGGCCCTGCAGATCCCAGCTCGCTCAGCCACTCGTGATCGGACCACTTGAAGCCGTGCCGCGCGTCGATCAGCACGTACCTGGGCCAAAAGGGGTTTCGGAAGTTCAGCAAGTTCAGAAGGCTCAAGCTGGGCAAGCCGGGCAGTCTGCGTCTTCTTTACTGCTGCCATCCCCCGACACCGTAGCTCCGAGAGAGTGCAGCCGAAGCGGCAGGCCCCTCAAAGATGTCCGATTTCGCACGAAATCCAGCGCCTCTCCGGCAAAACCCTCCTTTAAAACGTCGACTTCCGTAAAACTTGTCCCAACCCGATTTAACCGCCCCCCCCCCCACCCTTTGCCAGCCCTTGAAAGCGGCCCCCCAGTATAGATGGCCAAGGCCCCAATGGCGTGGGCCTCGGGGCCGAAGATCCGGGCACGCGCAGAGTGGCCGTAGCCGGGCATGTCCTTGACAGTGGAAAGGTAGCGAAAGGTGGCAGAGATTTGGGGGCTTCAGGGTGGGTCTGCGTGAGGGTTCGGGTAAGGATTCCCGGGTGAGGAGGATCCAGGTGCGAGCATTGCGGTAGCGATGCTTGGGATCCTTAGGGCATCCCAGCGTCGATGAAGTCCACCTTGACCTTCTTGTTGCGATACCACGCAGCCTGCCACTTGGCTTCTGCGCGCCCCCCTTCCCTCTCGCCCTGCGTCCCTGTGGCCCTCTCTCTCTTTCTCTCTCGCGCTCTCTCACTCCCGGCCTCCTTCGTCTGGCCGGGCATGTTCGACACCCGCGCCACAGTCCCAAACTGGCTGACCTTGTTCAGCCTCCGGACTTCCACAGAGCGTTAAGGCGTGTTCAACGGGCTTAGAAACTACTCAGCCTCCTACCAGACCCTACAGACCCGACCGACCCTGCCGACCCCTACCGACCCGACCCTACGACACCAGTCCCAGCCGCAGGCTGCTCTTCCCCACATTGGAGCGGCCGATCACCGCCACCTCGGCGTAAGCGGGATCGGGCCGCGGCCACTTGTTCGAGTGCAGCAGCGGCGCCTGAGGTGGCTTTCAGGGGCCTACAGTTTAGGGATCAGGGAGCTATAAGGCTGCCAACGCCCTTTAGAGAGCCCCAAAGAGCCCTTCAACTTTTCAGGCGTCTTTCTTTCAGGCCGCATCACGCCTTGGCGAAGAGCCGTGTCCTCGAGGTGGCCAGCGAACCCGCCACGCGGTCTAGAGCTGTGGGCTCAGCCTTGCCAAAGAACATCCTCGCAACCCCTGTCAGCCTTATAAAGCCGTGAAATTACAATTAGAATGAGCACTTCTTGGACAACTTTCTAAAATATGAACATATGAAGGAGCTAGCATATACTTTCCTTCCGTTCACTTCTTTACTTATCTTTGTTGGTTTTGCAAGGGCCATTTCATTTTTTGTATTTTAACAGGGCGTGAAACAAGATAATCAGGAACGCCCTACAACATACTGAATGACCAATCTTTTCCTTGTGCAATTCAATTATGACTTTCTCTTCTTCAATGATTCAAACTTCAATTACAGAGTGTACACTCTGTATGAAACCCTGTAGACCTCTCAACCCTATCCACTAAGGACTAATTTGCTGAGTAACGGGCTCAAGGTTTAGGGTGCTTAGGAGCCTATGTGCGAAGCTGCGTTTAGCAAGGCCTCGTTGCCGAAGCATGGCCATTGCAACATATTGCAACCCCTCCCCCTTCCCCCTCTCCCCCCTCCCCCCTCCCCCCCCCAAAAAAAAAACAAAAAACATTCCGGCCTTCTTTTGCTTGAACTTCGCGGCGTGGTTGGCGCGGTGGTAGCCGCCTTGCTGCACCAGTGTGGGGCAGGGAGGTTGGTCGTCTAGCCTACTGGGCCTACTGGGGTCGGCTTTGAAGAGCTCTTGGTTCAGGCCCCAACATGAAACAAGAGCCCAGAATCGGAGCTCTCCGCACAACGCGAAAAGGACAAAACCCTGCACCCACTAAACCCTGAACTCAGAAAAGTGAGCCTTTGCCGTTGAAGTTCTCCTCCACCTGTCGGATCACATCCTCGGTAGCGTTTTTGGTGCAGTGCTCCGCTGCCGCATGGTGCTCTGAGGGATTTTGAAGTCGCTGCTCCTAGAGACCCCCCCCCCCCTCCATAAACTTGCAGCCCAAACCCTAACCCCTGACTTACCCTAAACCCTAAACCCTAAACCCTAAACCCTACCTAAACCCTGTACCCCCAAAAAAGGAGAGCAACAAAAACCCAGAAACCCAAACATCCTGCCAGACGCTGAGAGCTCCGAGTGTCAGGATAGGGCGCGATGTTCCGTATACGCTCCTGGGCACTCTCTGTGAAAGTTGCGCCAGCGCCCAACCCTCCAAGCAAGCCCTCATCCCCCCGCCAAGAATGCCTGACAAGATTCGTTTAGGGATGTTGCTGGCAGCTGGGGGGCAGAGGGCTTCACAAACACTATAGACCCTATAGACCCTCACCCCCACCCCCCACCCCCCCCACCCCAAAAACAAACACAAATAAAAGGCAACACAGGCTGCGTCCCCCCTCCCCGGTTTTCTCCTTGAAGGTCTGGTGGAGCGGGGAGTACTCCAGCGGCCGGGCCTCGCCTTTGCCCTGCTTCCCGGGCTTGCCGGGCTTCCCGGGCTTCCCGAGCTGGCGGTCCCGCTTCGGCCGCTGCAACCCGCGGGCGTCCTCCAAGCTCCTCTGGGCAACTTGGGGTCTTGAGGAGTTTTGGGGGATAGCGTGGTTCAAGCTTCGGCTATAGAAATCGGTCTCTTCATTTGCTGACGATGCACTCAGATGGCCTTCGAAAGGTCACGAGTCTTTCTCAATGCGCTGTCTCGTGTAGACATGGCCCTGTACTACAAAGAAAAGCAGAAGAAAAGCGCAGAAAGCTTCCATGCACGAGAACTTACAAGCAGCTCACACCCGTTCAGAACGTCCAACCAAAATCCCCCACATCCCGGACCTAACGCCCGGTCAATCTTGCGGTTCAAAGTTTGGGGCTTAGGCTTATAGGCTTTCGTAGGTTAGGATTCTAGGGGGTTAGAGGTTCATCTTACCCGAATCATCTACACAGGCTCCTGCTGCAGGTAGATACCTACGAGTGCCTACGAGTCCCATACAGAAAAAAGGGCGATGTAAAACCCCTCAAAGCCCCAAACCCTAAAACCCCCTAAGCCCTAAACCCCCAAGACCCCAAACCCTAAAAACCCCTAAAAACCTAAACCCCTAAATACCCCTCACAACCCTACAACCCCCGGGAGAAAAAAAAGAAAAAGAAAAACTAAATACCCGTCACAAACCCTCAATGCCACATTCCCTTATTAGCCAACAGTAAGTTGTCCGAGGTGCTGGGGCGCCCGGAGCCAGGGTGCCAGACCGTGGCGGGCCACGCCAGAGCCGCGACCAGGGATCCGAACTGGAGAGGCTCTGTTCGGGCTGAGGAGGGCTCTGAAGGGAACTTTGAGATGGGGGTGGTTGAGGGCTGATGGGGCTTTTGAGGGCTGTGAAGGTTTAGGGGTGTATAGGGTTTTGGGGTTTGGGGGTTGTTGGTGGCTTTAAGTGTCTTGGGCGCCGAGTCAGAAAAAATGACACCCCGGAAGCAAAAGGTGCCCCTAAAAGCCAAGAAACACCCAGCCAAAAACGCCCTGGCGAAGCCGCAGACTTCACAGGCCAGCACGGCGGCAACGGCGGCCAACGCCCATCTCCAGAGATGCCGCTGCATGCTAGTGACTGCTCGTACTACATGATGCCTTCTGAGTTGTTTCGCCTCTTGGTACCTTTTCCCTAGTGATGACATCCTCGACCCAGAGGTGGGAGCATAAAGTCAGAAAGTGAGCGTTCTGCACGGCATTATTCAGCTGACGCATGAATGAAGTGCGCACAGCGTACAGCATCTTGTGGGTTTAAAAGGGGCCCCCCCTATAGTAGTATTATTTACTGCGCATGGATGACTATGATAAGGCGCCTACGGGGGCATTTAATGCGCTTACTTCGTGCACTTTGTTCCAGTAGATGACGACATGCCACCCACCTACCATTCTTTGCAAGGCTGAGAAGCTGCGAGAAGGAGAGCAGAATCGGGAAGACGTGGATGTCATCGTTCAAGAGTTTGTGTGGCTTGGTCGGCCCGGGATCCTCCTCCTCTTGGCAACCTCTACGCTGTCAAGTAGACACATGGACATTGTGTATTGCGCGGTGTAGTTGACCCAGCCAGCAACTGTGCAAACACAAAGCGGAGGAGGTTGAGGCACGGCGCAGGATGGCGCCGAAGCACGTAATAACTGCAGTAGAGTTGAGGCTCGTGTATAGGCAATGTACAGGTCCTGCTGGCATCCTTTTCCGAGGACTCAGCCGCTGATCCCGCACGCTCTCTCTTGGTCAGTGCCCACCCACCTGAGACTGCTGTCAAGCGTCATGTGAGCTCGGCTTGAGTTCTACACCGGATCGCAAACCACCTCACATTTAACACAAGCCCAGCCCCAAGTCACCTGTGGCCACTGCCATGATGGGCACCTCTGATCGTCCAGAGACAACGAGAGTTGTCAGGGGAACAGGACTGCACAGGGCTGCCGCCACAGGGCTTCACCTGTGTAGAGCAGAGCACACTCCCAACTCCGCTGGTCAGCTGCGCTCTTCCTACTGCTCCTTCATAGTCAGGGACTCGGAGTACCTCATAATACTCCTTAAGATTCAATAGGGTTCCTTTTCTGGTTTATAAGGAAGGTATGAGAGTCTCTGGGTGGTCTTCATGTTGCTCCTTCTTTGCGTGGACCTAGCACAACTGGGAGTGTACCAGACCAGCGGCCATTGGCGGCCACAGCCTCTTCAAAAATGACGATCCAAGCTGTCTCTGCCTTTTGGCAGTGGAAGCTGGCAGCCGCAGTCTAACGAGATGTCCTGGCCCCCTTGTAACCCTAACCCAAAGCAGAAAAGGCATACGGAAAGGCCCAGAAAAAGGCATCAGAAAGGCCTTAAGACATCTCCTCCCGCTGTGTCCGATTCTAACATGGTCGAAGCAAGTGTGAATTATGAATCGGAGGCGCAAAGTCGTTGCCTCGAGCCCTCAATCTTCGGCCAGCAAGCCTACAACCCTGAGCCTCAGCTCAAAACTCGTTTGGAAAGGCTCTCGCTTGCTGGCATGAGTGCACATAAGCGCGAAGCGCGCGAAGCGCTTCAACTTAAGCAGGCGTCTTTCCGGAAGCGGTTCGGTACATGCTCGTTCTTAGGTCCAGTAGTAGGTAGCATCTGTGAATACTGGTCTGCACAACTGTGGTGAGGAGCCTCGTACCAAGAAGAACGCGTCCAGCACCAACTGCTTGGATAATCTCCGGGTCTGTACACGAGCAAACTGTCATTTGCAGATTGCAGCCGGCGTAAAGCCCACAACTCACACAAATAAAACGTCAGCAGCAGCGGAACCTCTCGGCAAAGACTCCATCCTTCGCAAGGTCAACGCCACACCAGGAACCCCGAAGCCTAAGAAGCCTAAGAAAAAACCTAAGGGGACATCTGGGGTATCTGGGGCTAAAAACTGCTTTACGATGCTTTGCGTCCTCGTCTCCACGCGCGCTTCAAACGGCTCGTGCCTTGAGGCAAAGGGGGCTTTCGTTTCGAGTTCAGGGTTTTAGGGCTTGGGATGATTTAGGGTTAGGATGGTTTAGGGTTTAGGATCTTCGGGTTTAGTATTTTCGGAATAAGAATAAGGGTTTGAGGTTTTTAGGGCTGAGGGCTCATTCTGATTCAGGGTGGTTTAGGGTGTGGGGATTTGAGGTTTTGGGGTTTGCAGGTGCCGTTTTCATGGAGGACGCCACCTTGAAACTTCCTGGTTGGTAGGGAATTGGGTTTGGCACCTAATTCCCTCATTTCCTACTGCGAACTAGTAAGACCAAGCACTGGTAAGCCAAGCGCCCTCACGCCGCAAATCACCCCCAAACCCTCAGCCCCAAAGGGCATCCAAAAGCCCGTGGCCGCAGCATCCGAACACCCCCGCCCCATCTTCGTCTCAATATTGGGGGGAGGTGCTGTGCTAGTTCTGGCCACTCTCCGAAACCAAGCATCCAAACACCCTTTTCTGGTGCCTCAAGGGGAGTGAGCTCCCTCCCTGTACCTCTTTTAGGATGAGGGACAAGTTAGGGCTCAGAGACTACGGGCTTCGGGGGCACCGGTATCCACTCCCTCCACTCACCCCGTTCTCGTTCATCGGTAACTGCACCATTGTTGGGGGCACCATTGGACAGCTATCAGCTATCATGTTTGCTCCTTTTTGGTGTTCATAAGCATTCATTTTAAAAAAAGGTAAAATGAGTTGCAACAATGAGCCAGGTGTGGGTGGCTGCAACTTGCTCTCCGAGTTGGACTGGGCCGCCACGCTCGTCTTTCCCAAGCGGGCAGCTCTTGCCACCATCCCTTCCGATTGGTTTTTGTCGGGTGTTTGAGGGCTTGAGGGTTTTGGGGTTTGAGGGCTTTAGGGCTTTTAGGGTTCTAGGGCGTTTTGGGCTTTAGGGTTTTTGGGTCTTGGGGCTTTAGGGCTTTAGGGTGCAGGGTTTAGGGTTAGGGCTAGGGTTCCCGAAAGCCCCTACCAATCCCCCTATGCAATAGTTTCCCTGCCCTCATGTGGGCAAAAAGATGCGAAAGCATGTTTTCAGGAGACGATCCCAGTTCTACAGCCCTGCAACTGTTAGTCCTGAACCCTAAATACCCTGAATCAGCAAAGCCCCCCCCCCTCCCGCAACAAAGAAAGAGAACCAAAACATAACAACAAACTCCAAAAATCCAAAAACCCAAGGAAGCAGAAAACAAACAACTGGCGGGGGCGAAAGAAAATCCTGGAAGCGGTCCCGGATGTGGGCTGCCTGTAGGAGCTGCGAGAGGCTGGCCTCTAAGGACCCTCGCTCCTGGGCAAAGGTGGGCGGGGGGGGGGGGGGGGGGTATAGGGCTTCGGGGTTTGGGGTTTAGGGTTTAGGGCTCAAGGTTTAGAATTTGGGGTTTTAGGGTTTAGGGGTTTGGGGTTTAGGGGGGAGTTTGGGGTTTAGGGCTAAAAGGGTTTGGCTTGTGGCTGAGAGTTTGGGCGTTTTGAGGCCGAGGCTTTTGAATGTTACGGCTTCCGTGCACTTCCAACTGTTTGGCTTGAAACGTGAATGACTCAGGTTAGCGCGTAGGGCGCAGTCTCCAAGAATTTGGGCGGGGGGAGGGGGGGGGGGCGTGGACTAGGGAATAGACAAAGTGATGGCGTGATGCATGGGGATGCTTGAGGCGAGTTTGCGCTGGCCTGCCAGCATCCGAGTTATTCTTGAGTAGTATGAGTTGTTGATGTCTGTGCTTCTCCGAAGGTAGCCACAAAGTACCATGCATCCATCGCGTGAGAAGGTATCCTTTCAATGGAGGGCATGTCTCGGGGACGCGTCAGGACTGGATCTGAACAGACGCATTCGAACAAATCATGGGCTTTCTCTCTTTTGACATTGAGCCTGCTACAGCCAGTGTGTGGTAGCTTTGACGGATGGTCGTCATGGGCTCTTTCAGGAGTCAAAGGGGCCAGCTGAAGAATAGTTTTTACGGCTCTCGGGTTTGCAGAGCACAGCACGCCCGCGGGCCTTCGTCGTTGCGTTCGAGCCCGCCGTGCCTGAAGAAAGGCACTAGCACCCGCCGAGCTCTCTCTCTCAAATCAAAAGTGCTGGCATTGTGCAGAATGGCGCGGAGATTGCCAGGAACCCGAGAACCCTCCCCTACACCCTAAACCCTAAACCCTAACCCGAAACCTTAAACCCTAAACGCTCAACCTCGGCAGTTGAGGCCGCGGCGTCCCTGCGCGGAAGATAGGAACTGCGGAAGGAGGGGAAGCGCCGATGGTCGCACGATTCCTCGAGGCGAAGTCATCCCATGCCCCTCTCATCTCCAAAGCCCCGCAAGAGTTTGAGGGCGTCAGGGCTTTTAAGTGCTTAAGGGTTTGGGGCTCAAGGGCTTAAGTGGGTGTAAGGGCTTAAAAGTTGAGGGGCTCAGGGATTAAGGGCTTTCGGGCTTTAGGGGTTTAGGGTTTGGGCTTCGTCGTGCATCATAACCATACTCATCATCATAGCCATCATCATCGTAATAAAGCTGCTCCTCTTATTCTGACGGCAGCCGCCGGGATTTTCCCGCGCATCTCAGATCCCGAGAAGCGGACTTTCGAGCGGCTTCGCCTGATTCTGGGCCTGCAAGCTCGGGTCTTAGGGCTTTTGGGCTGTAGGGGTTTTGGGGTTTAGGTTTTTTAGGGTTTTTATGGTTTTGAATGTTTTGGGGGGTCTTAGGGTTCAGGGGCATGTCTTCCAAGCTCATGCGGGGTCCGTCTGGGCATCTGATATGGTATGGCGTGCCTCGTCCAGCGATTCTGCTGCCTCAGCACGGGCCGTCGCATGAGTCTCGCAACACCGCCATATGAGCGAACGGTCTGAGAGACACACCCGGCATGGATCCACCAGCAGCGCAGCGGTTGCTAGTGACATCCATCCTCCGAATCTCCGGTGACCACACGCCACACATGCTGGGTCGTGCTGGGTTGGGGGCTAATGGGCTAATGGGGAACGGTTTTCGGCTTTTGGGCAACCCCCCCGTCCTTGGAATCCGCCGTCCTGCGAGCTTTGAGCCTCGAGGCAATGGGCCGCTCTGTGGATTAGTTTTGGCCTCTGGGTGCCTCTGGGTGCGAGGCTCTTTCGAAGGGTGCGAGGCTCTTTTTTGAGATGCAACGGGGGTAGGAGACCGCGAGAAACGCCGTGATACAGGAGAGTTACAAGTGGGCGGTGACTTTTTTACATGAGCTTTTTGGAAACACAGGCTCTTCTATGGGAAACTACCCAGCTGAAAGTGCCCTCGACCGCGCAGCCCCCTTAAACCTTACCTGTAAATCAGGCCAGACACGTTTGCACAGCTTCAGTTTTTAGAATATATATATATAGGTCAAGCTTCGGATCAGGCATTGGCGACATGATGGGCTTCTGGCAAGGTCGAGAGAACTACCCCACCACAGCTCTCCAGGCAGCAAGCTCTTCGTAGGGGGTTTCTTGAAGGACCCAAGTCTCCGAGGCAAAGGCTGTTCAAGTATGCTCGCATAGTAGAAGCTACTTCAACAGACTGAGTTTCCCCTCGAACTTCCTAGGTCCTAGGAAAGACCTCAAAGACCTGGTTGAGGCCACGGTAACCTCTAGCTCGTGTAACCTGGCTCAGGGACCCCCAACGAGGTGAAGACGAAATTCAGGCATTGAAAGAGTGCAAAGTTGTTGATACAGGATGGCGAAGGCGAAGGTACTGTGCTTGGACCCAAAACCCCAGAAACAAAAAACAAAACCTCCCCGAGCTTCTCACGTCTGTGGCCAACTCGGCGTAGGCCGCCTTCACGCCATCGGCGTCGAGACCTTGGCGGCTGGTCGTTTGGGTGAAAGGGAAAGCTGCCGACTCTCTGCCTGCCTGGCAAGAGCCTCAACAGCTGCGATGTAGGGCTTTTTGGGGCGAAAGAGCTTAACGTGTACATTTCGGAGCTCTTCTTACCCCCTAAAACCTGGACCCTCAACCGTCCTCCTTTAACCCCCCCCCCCCACAAGAGTCGTTGAGGTGCCCGCGGCACCCCAAGCAAGTCAGTGCTGCCAGGAGCGACAGCGGCAACGTGCCTTCGATGGACCTCTGCGGTGGGGTGCGTCGTGTCTTCCCAGGGGGAGGCTTGGGGTTCTTAGACCTCAACCCTCAACCTACAACCTAAGCCTTCAACCCCTTGCCATCCCTCTGCAAAGGAGTACCCGAGCCGAAAAGCGTTTTCGGGGGGCCTTGCTCGAAGCTACGGGCGCTCACAAGCCAAGACTTCCAGGAAGGGCTGATGTCCCCAAAGCACCACTACCCGAAGGGCCACCCTAAAAAACCCAGAACCAGGCCCCCCCCCCTCAGCGCGTCACCCACAGAGCCTCTCGCACAGCGCAGACTCCCACCTTTCAGGGGGACGATAGGGACGTAGGGTCTTAAGGACTTAGGGGGCTCCGGGCTTCGGATTAACCCCTAAACTACAAACCCCCAAAGCTTTCACAAGTCCACGGACATCTGACGCTTGCAACCGGAGGGTTGCGTTCTTCTGGCCAAGGGCAAAGCCCTGTCAAGACCTCTGAAAGCATTTTCCTGTTGATCTGACACCCAAGAAGGGCAAAGGTCAAAGATGTTCCAAGGTACCTAAAAATCTAGTTCCTCTTACACCTTTTGTAAATCTGCCCTGGGACCCTCGCAACATAAAAGAAACCCGTAAACACCAAGAACCGCTAAAACCGCTAAAACCCCTAAAACCCCTAAAACCCCTAAAGCCCCTAAACCCCCTAAAACACCCAAAACCCCTAACACCCCTAAAACCCTAAAACCCCTACAACCCCTAAAAAAGCCCAAAGCCCCTAAACCCCTAAAACCCCTAAAACCCAAATTGGCCCTAAACCCCCAACACCCCTAAAACCCTAAAGCGCTAAGCTCCTAAACCCTAAATGCCCTAAACCCTGATTCCCCAATCCTAAACCCTAAATACCCCTACGTAAACCCCTTGATCCCCCAAAAGCCTTTGCGCGTGCAGTGACCGAAGCGCCCGCGGGTTCCACACAAAGGCGCCGGCACCGGGCACCAGCACCTGCAAGGATTTCGGGCCTGTAGGGTTTTAGGATTTAGCGTTTAGGGTTTAGGGCTTAGGGTTTGGAATTCAGGGTTTGGGGGTTCGGGTATTCCGGTTTTTTGGGGCTTTGGGTTTTGGAGCCCTATTCTTGGCTAGGGCGGAAGGTTAAGAGTTTATGACACCTGGAGCTCACTGAAAGGAGTACTTCCCAACATAGAGGTCCCCCCTAATATACTCAAGATGCTGCGTTCTTGTTCTAGGAAATCCCACAAGCAAGTGCCCTAAAGCACCCCCCCCCCCCCCAAAAAAAAAAAAAGGGTGGGGAGCGTTTCGTTCCATGGCAAGCTGGCGCCTTCATGTCTCCGGCTTTGTCGATGGCCTCGAGACGCCCGACGCGCCCGCAGCACCTCGAAACACCGTCCTCTTCTGGGGCTCTTGTGTTTTTTTCTTGTAGGGTTTATAGGGGCTTATAGGGTTTATAGGGTTTCTCCCAAAGACTTTCCAGGGCCCAGGCTGAGTCATGCGGTCGTTCCAGCCACCATGGTTCACCTTTCAAGGTCGGCCCGAAAGAGCACCCTGCCTTACACATGGAGCGATCATGTCATGTTGGGGATTGCAACATGCAAGGGCTAAGCGGCTAAGCCCCAAAGCTCTAAACCACCTATCGACCAGAAAACCAAAAAACACAGAACGAAACTCCCTCAAACCTGCCCTAAACCCATCCGTATGGAGGGCTAGCAAGAACGATAGCAAACGAGCGCCTGGAGCTGCTTGGCTTCGTCCACCGTGACGTCGATTCGCACCTAAACAGGGCTTGAACCCCATACCCGAAAACCCTAAATCCCGAAAACCCCCAAACCCCCAAAACTGCGCGAGACTTGGATGTTTTTGGGAGGGTTCTGGGGGATGCTTCGGCTTGCAAGGAGGGCGTTTTTAAGGGGGGGTCCGGGATGCCTCGTCGCCAATCGTCAGCGCAGCGCCGGGCCCACATTCGTCTGCAAAGTAGACTTTTGGTCTCTCTCTCTCTCTCTCGCTCTGGGTTTTTTGGGCTTGGGGGGGGGGGGGGGGGGGGGGGGATGGAGGGCATTGAGCTCCATGATATGCGAAGACAGCGCTCTTCAGGGGCTTAGGGACTTGCGACTGAAGTGTCAGGGCTTAGGAGAACGTTGTGTTGGGGCTACTTGCTGTAGACTTTTGCAACCTCCGTGCACGCGGGGAAGCCTTCCTCAAAGGGAAGCAGTCCAGCGTCCTCGATCACCTGCAGTGGTTTGCAGCTCAATCATCTGCTAGTTCTTGCACGTACCTGGACCCTAAACCCCGAATCATCCCTGAGCCCTAAGCCCTAAAACCTTGTAAACCCTACACCCTACACTGCCCTAACCCGAAAGCTTCAGAACATAAACCCTAAACCCCAAACCCCAAACCCTAAACCCTGAACTCCAAACTCGAAACCCTGAACCCAAAAGAGGACCCCTCCCCTGGGCGGCCTCGGCAACGGCCCTGGCATTCCAGCACCAGCAACCCAGGGCCTAAGTCCGTAGCATCGCGTCGAGCAGGTGTTCGGGGGAGGGTTTAGGGTTTGGGGTTTAGGGTTTAGGGCTTAGGGTTTGGGGTTTAGGGTTTAGGGTTTAGGGGTGTTCGGGCGGAGTTGCGGCAGAGCTTGGGAGTTTAGTGTTTCTTTGTTTTTTGTTTTTTTTTTTTTTTTTGGGGGGGGGGGGTGTTGTTTAGGCGTGGGGGTTTGGGATTCAGGGGAGTTTGGGGGTTTAGGCTTGGGGGTTTGGGGTTTTTGGTTCAATGAAGCTTCAGGGATAAAACCGCAGGGTCTGTCCCTCTACTCTCTCGTAACCCATGCGCTGGGCGGACGGCCCCATGGGAGATGCGGAGCACCTGGCAAGCGGGCTCTGTTGTGCCGGAAAAGTACCCTCTGGCCATCTTCCCCTTTTGATCCTACACCTGCGACCTCTGAAACGTAGCATCTGTGAATGCTCGACCGCTTGCTCGCTACATAAGTTCTGGTTCGCAGCGATAACTTTTGAGACGTGCGAAAAAACATACATCACCAGCGACTATTGACCATTTCGTGCGTTTTTAGGGTCGGACATGGTAGAGTCTCACGGCCAATGCTGGCTGAGCCGGTTCCGAATGCCTTCTGTCTACAAAAGGTCCAGTAAAAAAATAGGCGCAGACGTGCAAACATTGGAGTCATTGGAGGATGCCTCTGGCATCCTGGGCGAGCGTCGCGGGATCTCGACCTCAGCCGTCGCGATGAGGCACGGCCCCCCCCCTCTCAGCGGTGGACTACCCTCGTGCTCACACACTCGCTGTGGGCATCAAGCACGTTCCCCAACTCCACTCAGCTCAGCAAAACCAGCGCCGCCAAATCCTTGGACCGAGTGCCGAACCACCCTGCCAGGAAAGTCCAAGCAGAAGGCCATCCTGGGCATTCAGCCCCACCACAAAAAGTCTCCAAAGCACGGCTGGGGGGATCCCTACTGTACACCTCTCCATCTCTCTCCCCTCCATCCCTGCAGGCTCCAAACCCCGAAACACGACTCTGGAAACCCGAACCTCAAGACCAACCCTGCAAAACCCTGAGCCCCAACTCCTTCCCACCCCTCCCGAATGCCCCCCTGAACGCCCGAAACTCCCCCAGTCCTGTCGCACCAACCGCCGAAGTGTTCCGGAGGCTCCTGCATCTTTGGGGTCCGAACCCCCCTTTGTCTCACCTCCTCTAAACGCTTTCAGCTTCGCGGCACGAGGGAAGACACGAAAGGCACTGGCAACCTCAAGCTGCGGAATTGAAAACTGAAAACAACCCCTAAACCCCCCCAACCCCCCCCCCCCGAAGCCCCCCTAAACCCCCCCAAACCACCCCCAAACCTCCCCCAAACCACCCCCAAACCACCCTAAAGCCCCCCTCGACCCCCCTAAACCCCCCTAAACCCCCCTAAACAGACCTCTAAAAACCCTTTGGCCCACCTGCTCCCTCTTGGCCCGCTCCAAGTCATTGTGCAACCTGCGTTGCGAAAAGCATGGCCAGGCTCGGATTTGGGCATTCTCAGCTCCCCGGGCCCCGGATTGCTTAAGAAGGGTTTAGGGTTTAGGGTGTAGGGTTTAGGGTTTGGGGAAAAGTGAACCTTCTGATTCAAGAATATGAGACATGAGGATTGGGAAAGTACGCGTCTATCAACAAGCCCGGTCAAGCCTAAACCCTCAACCTCTTCGAACCATCCCTCCCTTCCCTGTGACAAGGCTTATCAAAAACATCCAAAAAGAGAGGACATTCGGAAGAAAAGAAGGACGTGGTTTACGATATCAGGGGGTCCCTATAATCAAGGAATCCGACTTTTTTCTTTTATTTTTTTGAGGGAGGGGGGGTTACTGTAGGGTTCCCTTATCTTCGTAAACTCAAACGTCGAACTTGGCAACCCCGAAGGCCTCACCACGTCACCCACTGCGATGTGGCCATCACGGAGGGTAACCCTCCCGCGAGAGCCGCCATCCTCGTAAGCAGGGTCTATTGGGGCCTTTCGTTTGGAGGGCTTCTGTGTGTGTGTGGGATTTGTGGGATTTGTGGGTTTTTTGGAGCTTCTGGGGCTTTTGGCGGAGTTTTTGGGGGGTTTCTTTGGGGTTTTGGGCTATGGGTGTTTCGAGTGCTTGTTAAAACAGGTGGCCCTTGCCATTGAGTGGGTTCTGGCGTCGCCTGACTATGAACCGACCCAGATGACCCGAAGCGCCTCCCTATCCAGCCCAGTGCTACCGGTGCTCAGTAAGCCAGAAAGAGCTTCCAAAAAAAGAGACATCGGGACTGAAAGGAAGAAGTCACTGATTTGGCCTCCAATATCTGGGCGCCCGGCTCCTGACGGAGTCGTGGTGCCACCACCAGCCTTGGGGGTGCATCTTGGTGGAGGGTCCTAGATAGCTCTCGCTGTGCCAACTGATGAGATTCTATCATTCAGCTCCATTCGATGCTGCTATGGTGTACGAATCTTACACTACAACATCACTACTTTGCGTTATTAACCTCTTCCTTTTCTCTTCTTTTAATTCTGGCTGTCGACGTTCTCGGTTGATGCTGTAATCACTCTTCTTATCTTTATTCTTATTCTTCTTCTTCTTCTTCTTCTTCTTCTTCTTCTTCTTCTTCTTCTTCTTCTTCTTCTTCTTCTTCTTCTTCTTCTTCTTCTTCTTCTTCTTCTTCTTCTTCTTCTTCTTCTTCTTCTTCTTCTTCTTCTTCTTCTTCTTCTTCTCCTTCTTCTTCTTCTTCTTCTTCTTCTTCTTCTTCTTCTTCTTCTTCTTCTTCTTCTTCTTCTTCTTCTTCTTCTTCTTCTTCTTCTTCTTCTTCTTCTTCTTCTTCTTCTTCTCCTTCTCCTTCTCCTTCTCCTTCTCCTTCTCCTTCTCCTTCTCCTTCTCCTTCTCCTTCTCCTTCTCCTTCTCCTTCTCCTTCTCCTTCTCCTTCTCCTTCTCCTTCTGCGGGTTATATATATACACACATATATATATATATATTGCTGTATATTGCACTGCGCCCTGTGCCGCCACAGGTTCTTCGACGGGGCTCTCCACAGGTCATCTGACTGAGGCCGCTGCACCATTGCGAGCTGTAGCTGGTAGCTGTCGCAAGCCTCAGGCTACCAAGACTGTGCTTAGCGCCTTAGGGTTTCGGGCTTTATAGGTTTACAGGGCTGGAGGGGGGGGACTTCGATGCGTTTGGCTTGCGTAGAGCTCTGCCGAGGAATATTCGTGGTACCGACAAAACGGCTGGCGAGGCTTTGAAGCCCCAAGCAACTCTCGCAAGAACCTAACGTTGTCCAAAGCCCCTGAAATCTTTCAACTGGAATCCCCCTTGCACCCTCGACCCACTGGCCCACTGGGCCCTGAATGATATCCGGGCTGCTGGAAAGGAGGCCACAAGCCACGCGCACAGCGAGGGCCGAGGAGGTCGGTGGCCGTGCTGAGCAGATTGCGGCAGAGTTCAAAGGCTGCCGGTTCTCGGAGATTCTGCTTGCATCTGTACCCTTCAGGTACCCAAGCCCCGAACCCTTCTGAACCCTAAGCCCCGCCAAAATTTGGGGGTGGCACACGAAAGCACCTGAGAAGGGCGGGATAGCTGCAAAGCTGCAATGTTCCCCCATCCGCCTGCAGCCTTGCCGCGCGCCGAGGCCATGAGAAGACCCCCGAGGCCTGGGGGGGCGAACTGACGGAAGGCGGCTTTTTGGGTTTAGGGCTTAGGGCTTAGGGTTTTACGGAGACGGACGTTCTTTCGCTTTAGTGGGCCTAGTGCGAGGCTCCATCTTGAACGGCCAGCCTCCCCGTGAGCATGTACTCTGGGTTGTTGAGGCTTGTGGAGCATAACCAAGACTTGTTCATTCGGCTGCTCAACGCTCAGTTCTTCTGTACACATTGAGCCCAACACTCGGCAGCAAGCTTGCACTGCCTGCAAGAAGACATGACCCGAGGCGGAAAGGGGCAGAACACTAAGTGCGCGCCGCCTTACGTTGCAAGAGCTGCAACACTAGTCACTAGTCACTACTCACAGTGAAAAGCACCGCGCATGTTCTGCCTTTCACCATGGGTAAATTAGGAAAGCTTGGGATGTTGCAGTCCTTCATCGGGGACTATAATACCCCCCATTAGAATAAGGATTCAGGACTGTTAGTACAAGGGTGGAACATCCCAGGGTAGAGCGGATAGGATGCCATGCAGCGGTTTCGGACTTGGCCTGTCGGCCGACCACTTGTGGCTGCCGTCCCTGTGGCTGTGGCCTTCGCTCAGAGAGAGAAGAAAAAGAACGAGAGAGAGAAGGGTTTCGGGTTTAGGGCTTTGGGTTTTGGATTTTGGGTTTAGGGTTTTGGGTTTAGGGTTTAGGGTTTAGGGAGTTTCCCCCTAAAACCCCTGGCCTGAAACCCCAAAACCCCCCCCCCCCACCCCCCAGCCTGGACGACGACCTCGCAGAGCGTGCGGCCATCCGCGGCCAGCGCTGCCACGGTGGCGGAAACCCAGGCCAGCAGGGCCGCGCTGCCTTTTGGTTAGGGGTGAAGATGTAGGTTTAAGGGGTTCAGGCTTTGGGGTTCAGGGTTTAGGGTTGAGGGTATAGGGTTTAGGGTTTAGGGTTGAGGGTTTAGGGAGTTTAGGGTTTGGGGCGGTACCTCTTCTGCAACAGGGGGCTGGAACATGAGTGATCACACGTGTATTTGGGCTCTTTGGGGGAGTTGGGGATGCGCCTCTCTCTTCTTGCTTCAACACCGCCAAGAGCTCCTTGCAGAAGCGCGAGAGTCTTGGTCTGAAACCCCAAACCCGAAACCCTAGCACCCTAAAGCCTAGATCCTAGACCCTAAACCCAAAACCCTCATAAGCCCCTCTCACTTTGAGCACTCCTCGAATATTGAAACACGCCGTCGGGTAGCAATTCTCAACATCTCCTAGCGCGCAACTGCCCTCTCATGAAGCCCCGATGTCCTCAAGCGCGCTGTTGCCAGCTTCGGGGCCCGAGTGGTCGCAGAGATGCCGCCTCAAGCCGAGCAGAGGACCCCGAAAAAAGGGTTTGGGGTTTGGGGTTTAGGGTTTAGGGTTTAGGGTTGAGGGTTCAGGGTTTAGGGTTTAGGGTTTAGGGTTTAGGGTGGGCTTCCTTTCTCCCAAAAACCAAAGCTGCCACTTCTGAATCTAGCACTCCGAACCCTAAAAACCCTAAAGCTCCAAATCCCTGAACTTAGACCCCAAAGAACCCTCAAAACCCGAAAGCTCCTAATCCCTAAACCCCCAAAACCCCTACAAACCATCATAAAAGCTCCAAATCCTGGACAAACCGCTTACCGCCCGACCTTCGGGCCTCAGTGACCCTAAACCCTAAATCCCCCCCAACCCCAAATCCGAAACCCTAAATCCCGAAACCCTAAACCCTAAAAACCAAAGGCCCCCGGCATCGTCGCCAGAGCACAAGTTCCGGCTTCGCGGAGGGCCTCGGAAGGGGAAAAGCGCGCTCCCCTTTTTTCCAGAGTCCGAGCGCTTTTTTTTTGGGGGGGGGGGGGGGGGAGTTTAGGGTTTTGGGGTTTGGGGTTTAGGGATTTGTTGTTCGGGCGGTTTAGGGTTTGGGGTTTGGGGTTTGGGGCTTTGAGATTTTTAGGGCTTGGTGCTTGACGGGCGTGTAGGGGGTCTTCTTCGGGGTCTGAGGGGGAATCTGAGATCCACACTCCGGGAGCGATCGGCACGGGGGCACCGATCTTGCCGTTGGGCTCCTGGCGTCAAAGCCGGTCCCCCCACATTTGACGTCAAAGCCGGTCCCCCCACATCGGGATTCAGGGTTCAAGGTTTGTGGAAGCGGGAGGCCTTCAAGTCATCCCGCGGCACCAGAAGCAGAAATTGGCGCATGACGAAAAGCCAAAGCGGCACCTGCCCCAAAGGTTCTTCGACGTTCAGAGGCTCTTCGACGTTAAGAGGCGCTTTTGTTGTCTCAGGGCTCCTGTGCTCTCAAACTTGAACTCTCCTCTCTCCTCTCGTGTCCGCTTTCAAAGACTGCGTCACGCGCCCCATTCTATGACAAGAGCCCTGTTTCTTGACCGTGCACAAACTCGGGGTTGCCAAGTTCGAACCCTTCCGAAGACAGGGAAAGGCCACACAGATTCCCAGGAGGTAAGAAACCCTAAACTTGGGATGTTCCCCCATGTACTAACAGTCCTTACATAGTAGGGATTCTAACTGGGAGGGGAGGGGGGGGGTACTATAATCCCAATTGAGGACTGTTAGTATAAAGGGAGAACATCCCCACTCCTCCCACAGAACGCGCTGCAGATTCCGGCGTCACCAGTGCCGGCAGGCGCCTCGCCAGCCTTTTGGAGTCCTGCACAGAAGGAGAGCGGTGTCTTGGCACCCTCCAGCCCTTTAAACCCTTTAAGCCTTAAGAACCCTGAGAACCCTGCATAAATACCCTCAACTCCCCCGCCCTAACCCTACAGAAAACCGCCCAAAAAGACCCACTCGGGACCTCCGAGAGCTGAGGACCTTTGAACAAACAACCTCAGGAGGCAAGGGGAGCCTGATCCGTTGGCCGTGGCCGCCCTGCTGTTCTCCAAGAGGGTGAACATCTTTTCCACGGTCTCAGCGAGAGGAATATACACCATACCTGTACTGTATATACTATGATATACTTCCTCGTATCAAGACCTTGGGTAGCACTCTAGCACTCTGTACTTGCATACCCCAGCTATTTAAAGGCTGAAGAGTGACCAGGCAGATGCTTCAGAGACCTGCTGCTCACAAAGCCCCCCAGAAAAACGCAGGAGGTTCCCGAGCTGCCGACTGGCTGACTTGCGTTGCAGTTGCTGTTGCTACCTGCGTCAGACATCGCTGGGATTTCGAGTACAGTCAGATCTGCCTCAAGAGCTCGAAACCACTCAACCCGACGTTCCGAAGTCCTGCCTCCGCAGATGCTGTTGCCGTAATCTATATCTGCCCATGCTGCCGAGTGGTCCAGCGACGACCTGGAAACAAAGGCTGATTAGTTCTCGGATCTGTGCAATCAAGAAAGACGCGAAAATCTTCCGGGCAACTACCCTGCCCGGACGGAAAGCGGCATGAGCTGAGCAGATGCCAAAACAAAGCGGTGGGACTTTCCTTCTCATTCCAATGCCCCCCACATCTTCTCACAGGGCGTAATGAGGCTTTACTACGAATTGCTTAAGAACCCCCCAACAAATAAAAATATTATTCCTTATATGGGTACTATAGGGATGTCTATTTTTTGGGGGGTTCTGAAGCAAATAGTAGTTTCAGGGAGCCCACAGGCTGAGGTGCGCGCGCTGGCGGCCGGACTGCCAAGGCAGACAATGCCCTGATGAGCAGTCGTGCGCTTGCAAAGAATCAATTCCCTGAGCCTGCTTTCAGGGTCGAGGAGAGGGCTTAGGGGGCTGAGGGGGCTATAGGGTAGAGCCAGGGATTTCAAGTCTGGAACCCAGGCCTGCAGCCCCATGCGAAGAGCTTGGCGCTGCCGTTGTTTCGCTGCATCGCGAGCACCTGACGGTTCACCCCGTTGAACACTCCGCTTAACCTGGGTTCCGAGAGGCCCCGGCCACTTGCTGGATGCCCCGAGACAGCACTTCCTCGAACTCCTCGCGCGCCGGCCTTGGAACACACTCACTGCCACTGCTGCTACTGGTAGCGACCTGCCGCAACGGTGTGTTGCATAGTGCTGCATGGTGTTGCAACTATGGCAAAACCCCGATGAAGCTGCGAGAGTGGCGCAACTTTATTGGTGAAGCATCCGCTTTGGCAAGGCCAGGCGAGTGCATGCGGCATTTCAGCCGGGTGCGATGGCTCTCTGCAGCTCGCTGGAAGACTGCACTTGCTGGCAACATAAACACCCCGTCTGTACACAAAGGACTTGGCACATCCCCAAAGAAGAGGAGCTCAAGAATTCCGGAGTCTGCTGAGGTCGGACCTTTCAAAGACAGGTGGTTTCCGGGATCAGCAGAGAACGATGCCCAGAGACCGCAGCACCCGATCCAGCTCGGAAGGGGGCCGGTTGCGACCAGTCCGAGACTTCTGCTGCTTTGCGAAAGCCCAGAGAAGAAGATTGAGCCTGAGCTTTGCAGACTTGCCGTTGGGACACGGGGATGGGTCGGATCACGGCCACCCGCCATCAGGAACTAAGGAAGTTACTACCGCAAAGGCCCCTCAGAGACTTGAGACCAGGACGCATCGCAGCCAGGATGAAGCCGAGCTGGCACAGGAGCTTCATCTGCAGTCCAGCGCCCACAAACTGGTTCATATCCGGATTGGATCTCACCTCGCGCATGACCTCGGGGAGGGTGGCGGAGGGTGCGCTCTCTCCCTTCTTCTCTCACCCGTTCTCTCTGCCCCTTCTTCAAGCTCCGTCTGCTCTCGGGTCTACTTCTCCCCCAATCTTCTCTTTCGGAGGCTTTTTTCACAGCCCTCCCGGTCCCAGCGAGTGATGCGAGTTGAGGGAAGAGGGCCGCGCCTTCTCGAACTGCTGCGCTTGCATGCGCAGCCTCTCGTGCGACTGAAAGCCGGCGCCGGGATCCTTGGGACCACGCCTTCCGGAGGCCTCCTTTCCCAATTGTGAGAGGGAAACAAAGAGAGAGAGAGAGAGAGAGAGAGAGAGAGAGAGAGAGAGGGAGAGAGGGAGAGCGAGGGAGAGGGAGACAGACGGAGAGGGAGAGAGAGGGAGAGAGAGGGAGAGAGAGGAAAGAGAGGACAAAAACGGGCTTCACAGGTCTCGAATTTCAAAGGAGTTTCACACATCTTTGCACAAGCTTCTGGGGGGCACCCTCATGCTTCTCGGCTCCTTGCTGCGGGCTTCGTGGGCGGCCTTCAGGTCCTCATACCAGTGGCGATGCCCGGCGCCTGCGCCGGCGTAACCGGCATAACCTGGAAACCCTTCTTGCACACACAGCAGATTTTTCCCCGGGGGGGGGGGGGGGGGGAGTGGGGGTTACGATACAACAGAAGCCCAAACACTCCCGAGCTCTGGGTTGCAAAGTAGCCGTTCCGATGGCCAGCCGGGCTGGGCTGGCGTGCCACGCCTCCCGAAAGCTTGCCAGTGGGGAGGAGGGTCAAAACCGGAGCTGCTGAGAAGCTACCCAACGACTGGACTCTCTTCTGGACTTGAATATTTCCGAGCTCATGTGCCCATCGTTTGTTCCCATTGGGCCCTCCTCGCCTGCGCTCCTCGGCAAGCCGTTGTCGTAGACCTTCCGGCGTGTGGGATCCCGGAGGGTCTCCCACGCGTGCTGCACCCGCTGGAAGCTTGCGCAGCTGGACCCGGACACCTGCAAAATGTGCAAAAAGTGGGGGCAAAAGGAGATCCCGAAGCCTTCAACATTGAAGCAGCTGTTGAACCATTGGACGCTCGATGCGACCAAATTCCAGACGACAGTACCCCAGCGCCCCTTTGAAACTCCAAGTCACATCCGGATGGTACTGCTTGGCGCGCCGCAGGTACGCCTCCCGGAGCTCGTTCTGCGATGCGCTCGGGCGCACGCCCAAGGCGTGGTAGAGGTCGCAGCGGCGCGCATGGCTCAGGCGCAGCATGACAGGCAACGGAGAGGCGGCTCTGATTTTGAGGGGGATCCTGTCGGGTCTGCGTGAGGCACCGAGTTCCAGCAATGGGTGGCGGTGGCGCCATAGAGTCTTTGCCCTAGGCAAGCCGATCACTCCAAGCCCAAAATATCCAATGTACATGCAGCCAAATCTACCTGCCAATCCTGCTCGCTCGCTCGCTCTCTCTTTCTCTCTCTGTCTCTCTCTCTCTCTCTCTCTCTCTCTTCTGAGTCTTGTCTCTCTTCTCTCTCTTCTCACTCTTCTCTCTCTTCTCTCTCCACACTCTCTTCTCTCTCCTCTCTTTTCTCTCTCTTCTCTCTCTTCTCTCTCCTCTCTTTTCTCTCTCTTCTCTCTCTTCTCTCTCTTCTCTCTCTTCTCTCTCTTCTCTCTCTTCTCTCTCTTCTCTCTCTTCTCTCTCTTCTCTCTCTTCTGTCTCTTCTGTCTCTGCTCTCTCAACCCTCTCCGCTCTCTCTCTTCTCTCTCTCTCTCTCTCTCTCTCTCTCTGCCTCTCTCTCTCTCTCCCGCTCTGCCTCGCTAGAACCCTCACGTCTCGATGTCCCCCAAACGTATCTCAGGCAGGACCTCACATCACGGTGGAACTCCTCTTGGGGGGGACTTGGGGGATTTCTTCCTCGGCTCCCGGGCTGCGACGCGCGTTCCCGGAGCCGTCGGCAGGCCGTGGCCGGCCACGCCTCCACCGGATCCTGTGGCGCTTTTGAGGGACAAGGCCTAGCTGCTACCCCAAAACTTCCCAAGACCCCTTACAACACTGAACCGAAACTGCCCCCCAAAAAACACCCCGTCACGAAAGCATGGGGCCTAAAAAAAAACCCTAAAAGGCGCCTCTGGGCGGATCCCCACCGCACACTCGACCAGCTGCTGGCAGCAGGCCACTAGGGCTGCGGGGTCGTGGACCTCCAGCCTCACAACGTTTTTCGGACTCTTCGAGCGGGGGGCGTATGTTCGTCTATCTATACGTTTTTCACGTAAGCTCATGCTTACGTACATGCAGATATGTTTTAAGGCATAGAGAGAGAGAGACGGCAAGAAAGAGAAAGGAAGGAATACAAGCTGGTGTGATTATCCGCCTTTAATAATAAGAGTAGAAGGCTGGGACGCCGACTCCATCCTGCGCACCACTCGCTTCGCGGCCGCCAAGGTGCTCTGCTGTAGCATCATGTCCTCGGGTGGTTGAGGGGTTTAATGAGGGTTTGGGGTTTGGGCTGGGCCCTGCGTGTTCAGCCATGAGCCGGACAGTCTCAACTCTCAACCCTCAACCCTATCCCCAAGGGCCCAACTGCGAGGCCGCCATCTGCGCAGAACTCCTCAAGTACGAAGAGGGCTTGGGGTTTAGGATTTAGGTTTACGGTTTGGGGTTTAGGGTTTCTGTCGGGAGGCTTAGTTACTAGGAGTCACTGACTCGTGCTTGTACTTGTTCTTGTCACTTCACAAAAACCCTAACCCTCTTGAACAATGTTGCCTATTGGTAGCTGTTGCCGTGAACCTTAAATCCTAAAGAAAGCTACACAGGGCCCAGCTTGAATGAGGATTTGGGTCTCAGGACGAGGGGCTTAGATGTGTAACCCTATAGCCCCACACCCGACACCCTACACCCTAAACCGTAAACCCTAAACCCTATAACCCTGAACCCTAAACTGTGTTGCCGCGGCGTTAACGGCTTGGTGCTCTTCGGGGTGTCCTTGAGGGAGATGCGGCCGCTTTTGTCGCGATCCTCGGGCTTTTTGCCAGGCGGGCGAGGGGGTGCAGCTGAATGGAAGGAAGTTCAGGGTTCAGGGTTTAGGGTTCAGGGCTTAGGGTTTAGTAGGGTTCAGGGTTCAGGGTTCAGGGTTTAGGGTTTAGGGTTTGCATTTGCAGTAGCAGCGTCTGGCTCAGAGCAGAGCTACCGGTTGCGCTGGGCCCACGGCCCACAACATCCAGCATCGCTCAATCCATTCGCGACCTCGGGGCCCAATGGCGCTCAGCTGTTTCCTTCAGGTTTTGCGTTTAGGGTTTAAGGTTTAGGGTTTAGGGCAGTTTAGGGTTTAGGGCTTAGGGCTTAGGGCTTAGGGCTTCGGGCTTAGGGCTTAGGGCTTAGGGCTTAGGGTTAGGGCCTCCAATCCGCGAAAAGTCCCCCCCCCCCAATCACTGGGCTCTCTGCTGGCAGCCACCGCCGAGGCTTCTAGCGACGAGGTCCCACAAGATTTGAGCACCTGAGCAACAGCGCCCAGCATAACAAATCTCAAAGGCATCAAAACCCTCTTCCGAGGGTTTAGGGTTGAGGGCTTTAGGGTTTAGGGTTTAGGGTTTAGGGTTTAGGGTTTCCGAAATACGATCCCCTTAAAGCAACGAGGGGATAGTTTCACACATCCCAGGGGCCTCTTCAGGCAGTAGGAGCTCTGCTTTTGAGACGCAACCCTAAACCCTAAACCCCAAACCCTAAACACCCTGCCCCCCAAGAGTCGGGCAGCTCGCAGAACTTCCGCCTGCCAGATCAGGGGGGGCATCGCTTTGCTGCTGCACAAACGACTTTCAGGGGGGCCTTCCCCATGCCGGTGGTTCCAGCATTTGCCCAGTGGCGGAACCTCGGGAGGATGATGGAGGAGGGAACCGAATTTGGAGATCGCAACGATTCAGGGTGTATTGGGAGTATTGGGTATATTGGGCCTAGGGCCTTAAAGGGCTGAGGGTATTAGGCTTAGGGTTTTGGAGTGCTGAAACGAAGGGAGTCACAGCAGAGCTGCAGAGCGGCAAATCGAGAGCCCAAGAGGCCAGACCCTCCCCCAAGGAATGCGGTTTAGGGGTCAGGGTTTCGGGTTTCGGGTTTCGGGTTTCGGGTTTCGGGTTTAGGGTTTAGGGTTTAGGGTTTAGGGTTTAGGGTTTCGGGCTTTGCAGTTCAGGCTCAGGGCCTCGGGCCTAGGGCTTCGGAAACAAGGACCGAACACCCTCTCCAACAACCTCCCGAGGCCCGAGACCAAGCTTGGACCGAAGGCCCTTTGGAAGCTCAGCCACACCCTTTCCAAAAGCCTCTTAAGACCACCCAAGCTTGGAGCGAAGGCCCTCTGGAAGCTTAGCCCCCATACCCCCTCCCCGACCATGAACCCTAAACACCAAACCCCCGCCCTAAACCTTCAAAAACCCTGGGGCTCCGAACCATCCTTCACCTTGGGAAGCTTTTTGCTTGCCAGGATGTTAGGGGTGTTGGGGTTGATTTTAGGGTTTGGATTCAGGATTAGCGACATTGCTTTGCGTTTAAAGGAGTGTTTTGGGCTAGGTTTGGGGTCTTGGGGTTCAGGCTCCGCTCTTTGCTCTCTGTTTGGGTGGAGGGCCTGGGGTTGGTCCAAGCAATTCAAGGCCCCCCGCCAAAGCAAAAAGTGACTAAACCCTAAACCCTAACCCTCATCCAAACACAAACCCAAGAAGCTCCAAAACCTCAGAAAGAAGGGCCAAGCTCTGGGACCCAGGCGATCCTTATCCAAGGGCGGGGGCGGCCTCGAGACAGCGCAGAGCTGGCTCGGGGGTTGTAGGGTGCAGGGCGTAGGGGATGCCTAGATAAAGTGGTTTAGGGTTTAGGCTTAGGTTAGGGTTTAAGGTTGCTATAAGAATGGGTTGCCGGACCTTGCTGAAAGAGGACCCACCGATAAGAAATGGGCCGACAGAATTGAAGTAGCAAGAAGGGGTTTGATCTCAATCTTGGACCTACCCTAAACCAGGAAAGAACATGTTTGAATAGAGGCCCGCCAAAGCGGCTCATACTTTTTGCTGACCCCCATAAGGCTAACAGCAGTAGAGAGGGCAAAGCCAATGGATGCCCGGAACCTCTAAACCCCCAAACCATCTAAAGCCCTAAAACACACCACAAACACCCCACAAGCACCCCACAAGCACCCCACAAGCACCCCACAAGCACCCCACAAGCACCCCACAAGCACCCCACAAGCACCCCACAAGCACCCCACAAGCACCCCACAAGCACCCCACAAGCACCTCCACAAGCACCCCACAAGCACCCCACGAGCACCCCACAAGCACCCCACAAGCACCCCGCAAACACCCCACAAGCACCCCACAAGGAACCCCCCCGAAAACCCCCCCCCCCCCCCCACAAACTCCGAGGGCGCTGGCCCCTTCTCGCGCTCTTCGTTGAGCTCCTCGAGGTGCTCCGCCAGCCAGCGCCTTGAGGAGAGCTTACCGCTGTGTGGGGGGCTTGTGGGTTTTGGGGTTTGTTGAAGGGGTTTAGGGTCTTACAAGTAGGGTCTTACGAGTTTAGGGGTTCTTGGGGCTTTAGAGCTTTAAGGGAACCCCCACCACAATAAGGACAAAAAAAAAACGCAGACTCCTACGCTTTCGTCACCGAGGGCTCCGCAGGAGGCCCCTCTCGGCGCAAAAGGCTTTCCGGGAAATCCGCCCCTCGCCGGCCGGGTCCTTTTATTTAAGGCGCGCTTCGGGCTATCTTAAAGCCTACAGAGCCTGCAGTTGGGCTTTAGGGCATACAGGCCCAATGTGCGTTCCAAGTGATACTACCCCCCAAGCTTCCAAACCAACGCTTCTGCTCTAAAAGGGATTTCAGAGAAGCTCCGGGGATGCCTTCGGGCGCTGTACCCCCGCCACAGAACTGCGCGGCTTTTTAGTTTCTATCGTACAGACTAAGGCTTGTTTGCGCTTTGTTTTGCTTTATTGTATATGTAATTCGGCCACTATGCAGTCGCTGATGCAGGAGTGACAAGCATTCTCGCTGCAGAAACATGCTGCAACAGAAGGGCTAGCGGCTAACAGCGGGGAGTACGTGCAACTGCCACGGTCCCACTCACGCCACAGCGAGCCGCGCAGTGAAGCCTGGGAAGCAGTAGACATCGACATGACCAGGCATAGAAGACGCTAGCTGCAAGGCGTTCCGCTCTCAAGGTTTGTTCCTTTCTTACGTTCTTTCTGTGTCTTTCGTCTTTCTTTCCTTCTTTCCTTCATTCCTTCCGTCTTTCTGTCTTTCTGTCTTTCCGTCTTTCTGTCTTTCTGCCTTTCTGTCTTTCTGTCTTTCTTTCTTTGATAGCAAGCCCGCCCTGCCCCTTGCCCAATATGGTACGATAGATCCACAAAGCAAGACGAAAATCCAACACAATATATCACATGATATAGCATACTACAACATAATGTAGCATAATGCAACATAATACAACACGTACAACAGAATATAGCACACTATACCAGAACATCGGAAACTTAGAGTAGATGCAGAAAGCCCTGCACCCTAAACCTAAAACCCTACAACCTAAGCCCCCAAACTCCACCCCCCCCAAAGGGGATTCCCTGGGGCGCCTCGAGCTTGGCGGCATCCACCGGGACGACGGCAGGCAGCACCTCCAAGTTTCGGGCTTAGGGTGTTAAGGTTTTGGGGTTTTAGGGGTTTTGGGGTTTGGGGTGTAGGGTTTAGGGTTTAGGGTTCTAGGGCTTGGGGTTGAGGTTTTAGGGGGTGCCAGCCTCACTTGGAGGATGGTTGCAGGCTTTTATTGGAGCCTTGAAATGCCAAAAACACACGTTTTGAGCTTTTCGGCCCTATAAACCCAATAAACCCTCGTAAGTCCCTGTGCACACCACATTCAAACCCCGCTAAACCCTAAACCCTATAAGCCTAAGCCCTAAGCCCTAAACCCCCCTGAACCACGCTTTAGGGGCGGTCGCCTTCTCCAAGAGTTGCCGCTCCAGGTATCCGGAGCCGTCCTCGTCGAAGAAGGCAAACCAAGCCGCGGGATCCTTCGGGGAATCTCGGGGGGCGCTTGGGTGGCGGATGTTTTGGTTGCTTTGCTTCTTTTTGGTTTTCGCTTGGGTTTGGAGGTGTGGGGTTTTTTGGGTTTAAGCAGGGTTCCGGGGGGGGTTTAGGGAGTCGGCTTGAAAGGGTTTGGGGATTGAGAAGATACGGGCTGAGTCGATGCAGAAGACTTCTCTCAACAACTGGCTCCTCGCGCGGATCCGGTGGTCTGTGGGGTGGCGGCTGGAAGGGCTGGCGGCAGACAGGACACCGGGGACCTTCGATTCTCACAACGCACTTGACGAGTATGATCTATGATTTGGGATGTTCCCCCTTATACGAACAGTCCTTAATAGGTATTATCGTACCCCCTATCATAATTCCGATTAAGAACTGTTAAAATAAGGGGAACATCCCCATCTACGATGCTTTAATTGTCGTCTCAAATAAACAAAAGCGGTGTGATCGCATCTGAACGACTTCTGAGGCGCGCGTGAGTTCTGAGGCCGCAGCTGGTGGATTGCAAGGAAAGCTCCGTTGCGCAGGCTGTACACAGGAAGTGGCCACACGTCCGGCCTTGGGAAGATGCTTCCGAGGCCCTAAAAACTGCCATTGCTTTGCACCGCGGGCTCTCCCCTAGCGAAGCTGCGGCTGCTGCGGCCGCTGGCATCGACAAGCGCCGCAGGCCCTCCCTCGCCTCAGTGCCGTGCACACACACACACACACACACACACACACACACACACACACACACACACACACACACACACACACACACACACACACACACACACGGAGACGCGGACGAAGGAAAAGTTCCCAAACCCGAAAAAAAACCCTAAACCTCCTAAACACCCCCAAGACCCCTAGCTAACCCAAACCCTGAACCTCCTAGACCCCCCCCCCAAATAGCGCCCAGCAAGGATGAAACAGGGTGACTTGGAGAAGGGGGAAGCATCTCTAAGGCCACCACAGAGCGCTCTGAAGCAAACTGGGCATTCCGCAAGTCCCTCTGCCTCAACAGCAGTTGCTTAGAGGAGCTTTAGGGGTGTTAGGGGTTTGCGTAGGGAGAGTTCTGGTTTGTTGTCTGAACCGCAAGCTCCAAAGAGCCTCCGGAGCCGCCGGCCGCGCCCAGCTGTCGCGCTCCTCGGCCCACTGCCCTGGCGCGCAGGGGAAGTTGAAAGGGCTTTAGGGTTTGGGGTTGAAGGGCTAGGGGAAGGTTTACGGAGCTTGAGGGGCTTTAGGGCTTTAGGAAATTTAGGGGTTTAGGGGGAGTTTTGTGGATGTAGGGGGGTTTAGGGCTGTTTGAGGGTTTGGGGAGGATTGAGCGGCACTTCTGCACAAAGCGTCGGGAATGTTCGGGATGCTAGGGGGCCGGGGTGGACCCTTCACCCATGTGGAGGTTGAGGTAAGAATTTGAGACTGCCCCCCATTTCGCTTTCAGCTGTGCAACTCGTGTTTTTTTGGGCGGGGCTTGGGCTTTGGGGCTTGGAGCCCTTAGACCCTCCCTCCCATTTCAGTTTCATGATGGGCTTGGGATCCCTACTTAAACCCCTGCAACCCTAACCCCCTAACCCCGAATTCCCCTAACCCCGAAGCTCCCCACACCAAAAGAAACGAGAAGAGCCCCCCCCCCCCAAGCTCCCCTTCCCACCTCCCCCCCCCCCCCTCAAAAAGGCCACAAGCGAACCTACGAGCCGCTTGGCCAACTCGCGGTGGCCACCTGGCGTGTTGAGGGGTGTTGGGGTTTTGGGGGGGGTTGTTGGGTATTGAGGTTTTGGGGCGGAACTTGGAAACACTTCCTTCCTTGAGGGTGAAGTGTGGCATCTTTAGGCCCCGAAATACCTAAACTAATGAATCCGGCTTTATCCCCTAGACGCCGAAACCCCTTGAGGGTGGGATTAAACCCCCAACACACCCGCAGGGTGGCGCCTTCTACCGCAGCGCGCAGCGCCCGCGCCTGGTGCCCGGCTGTGCGTCAGCCAAGGCTTTAGGGTTTAGGGGTCTGGGGGTCTGTTAAGGAGTTTAGGGTTTAAGGAGTTAAGCAGTATAAGGAGTATAAGGAGTATAAGGAGTATAAGGAGAATAAGGAGTTTGTATAAGGAGTTTAAGGAGTTTGAGGAGGGTTTAGGCCGAGATTCAGCTTGGATGGGTCCAGCCCGCTCCCCCCCCCCCCAACATTGGGGACCATACAGGCATCGTTTTACTTACGAGGGGCTTAGGGTTTAGGGGTTTGGGGGTTCTTGGCTTCCTTCTCCTTGTGTTTGCTGTTGGGGTTTGGGGGGTGTCTTGGCTTCTTCTCTCTTACTTTTTGTCGGGGCGGGGGAACCCTATACCCTATACCCTAAACCCTAAACCCTAAACCCTAAAGGGGGGCGCCACGGGGAGTCGGGTGATGTGCTCTTTCAGGGGCTCCAGGGCGCGAGCTTGCGCGGCCAAGTCGGAGTCCAGCGAGGCGCCCCGATCCTGAGTTAGGGTTTAGGGTTCAGGGTTCAGGGTTCAGGGTTTAGGGTTTAGGGTTTAGGCTTGTCGTCCTTACATGCGTAGTGTGTGGAAAGAGAGACGGACGTCCGAAACCTTCAGCGCAAAAGTGTTCCGTCATGTACTTGGAGCTCTAGTATATCCCACCCCAGGATGCCACCCAAAGCATCTGTAGGACGCTTAAGTTCTTAAGCGTGTCTTGATGTCAATCTTTTGAATTGGCAGTATTTTGGAATTGATAGCATTGTCTGTTGGAAACACGCCTCAGCCACGCCCCCACGAAGCTTCGTGGTGAAGATAGTACAGAAGATATGTGTACAGACCATGCACTTATACAATAAATGGCTGTAGTTACGCTCCATACTTACCATTTACTTCTGGGTAAGACTGGAAAGTCGGCTTTGCTGAGGCCTTTGGGTGGCTGAAGGGGGCTTACCCCCGCCTGTGGGTGCCACCCAAAGCATTTGTAAGGCGCCTAAGTTCTTTTTGGGGTAATTTTTGGCTCCAAGCCCGATTTAGAAAGGAAAGACATATAAATTCTATTTAAAATTCGGGCCATTTTTCCCGAATACTGAGGTACCCCCCCACGGACGGAGCTTCCCTGGGACCTCGAAAAAGCTTTCAGCCTCCTGCAAACCTTCGAAAGAGCTTACGTAAAGAGGCCACACATAAAGAAACGCACTGTTTTGGAGTAATTTTTGGGCCCAAGCACGATTTAGCAAGGCCAGACAAAGAAAAACGCGCTGTTCCCGAGTGATTTTTGGCTCCAGGCATTTGGCTGGCCACGAGCACTCGAGGGTCCATTTTTTGATCCGGGTTTGACTGGGGCTTACGGTGGCTTACCCTCTCTTGGGGTACCCCACAGGAAGGCCACAATTCCAGAAAATTAGAGGTCATTTCCGCTATATAAATTCTATTTAAAATTTACTGAGAATCGAGCCATTTTTCCCGAATCCTGGGGTACCCCCCACGGAGCTTCCTGGGACCTTCGCAAGAGCTTACTTAAAGAGGCCACACACAAAGAAACGCACTGTTTTGGAGTAATTTTTGGCCCCAAGCACGATTTAGCAAGGCCAGACAGAGAAAAACGCGCTGTTCCCGAGTAATTTTTGGCTCCAGGCATTTGGCTGGCCACGAGCACTCGAGGGTCCATTTTTTGATCCGGGTTTGACTGGGGCTTAGGGTGGCTTACCCTCTCTTGGGGTACCCCACAGGAAGGCCACAATTCCAGAAAATTAAGGGGTCATTTCCGCTATATAAATTCTATTTAAAATTTACTGAGAATCGAGCCATTTTTCCCGAATCCTGGGGTACCCCCCACGGAGCTTCCTGGGACCTTTGAAAGAGCTTACTTAAAGAGGCCACACACAAAGAAACGCACTGTTTTGGAATAATTTTTGGCCCCAAGCACGATTTAGCAAGGCCAGACAGAGAAAAACGCGCTGTTCCCGAATAATTTTTGGCTCCAGGCATTTGGCTGGCCACGAGCACTCGAGGGTCCATTTTTTGATCCGGGTTTGATTGGGGCTTAGGGTGGCCTACCCTCTCTTGGGGTACCCCACAGGAAAGCCACAATTCCAGAAAATTAAGGAGTCATTTCCGCTATATAAATTCTATTTAAAATTTACTGAGAATCGAGCCATTTTTCCCGAATCCTGGAGTACCCCCCACGGAGCTTCCTGGGACCTTCGAAAGAGCTTACTTAAAGAGGCCACACACAAAGAAACGCACTGTTTTGGAGTAATTTTTTGCACCAAGCACGATTTAGCAAGGCCAGACAGAGAAAAACGCGCTGTTCCCGAGTAATTTTTGGCTCCAGGCATTTGGCTGGCCACGAGCACTCGAGGGTCCATTTTTTGATCCGGGTTTGACTGCGGCTTAGGGTGGCTTACCCTCTCTTGGGGTACCCCACAGGAAGGCCACAATTCCAGAAAATTAAGGGGTCATTTCCGCTATATAAATTCTATTTAAAATTCACTGAGAATCGAGCCATTTTTCCCGAATCCTGGGGTACCCCCCACGGAGCTTCCTGGGACCTTCGAAAGAGCTTACTTAAAGAAGCCACACACAAAGAAACGCACTGTTTTGGAGTAATTTTTGGCCCCAGGCACGATTTAGCAAGGCCAGACAGAGAAAAACGCGCTGTTCCCGAGTAATTTTTGGCTCCAGGCATTTGGCTGGCCACGAGCACGCTAGGGTCCAAAAAAGGTTTGATGTCAGGGTTTTAGGGCGTTAAATAACTCTTGTATTAGTACTGACAGTACTGTCTATAGAAATATTAAAGAATATTTGTATACAGACATGCACTTACCTGTAAATGGCTGTAATTATATTCTATAATTACCATTTACCTCTAGGTAAGACTTAGAAGGTCATTTGTTTACATTCCCGTCAAGGTGTGGTACGCTCCTGTACGTAAGAAGGCTTAAGCTGAGCACTCAGGCTTAAGCTTAAGAGTTTAGGGTTTAGGGTTTAGGGTTTAGGGTTTAGGGTTTAGGGTTTAGGGGTTTAGGGTTTAGGGTTTAGGGTTTAGGGTTTAGGGTTTAGGGTTTAGGGTTTAGGGTTTAGGGTTTAGGGTTTAGGGTTTAGGGTTTAGGGTTTAGGGTTTAGGGTTTAGGGTTTAGGGTTTAGGGTGCGCTGCTAAACCGACACACCCTTCGGAGTCTTTGGAGAAGAAAGCAACCCCACACTTCGAATCACAGAGCTGAGGCACAAAGAGCAGCAAGGCAACCTCGTCCCAGCCCAGATCCAGGGCCTCATACGCAGATCTGATTGCTCCTGATTGCTCCTAGGGTTTGCTCCTATAGACACCTCTTGCGTGTTTAGCCTGCTAAAGCAGGCCCGAATTGCACAGCTTGCCCCTGGCATGCCCTGGCCTTCTCTACGATGGATCGCCCATCAGGCAGCTTGCCAGTGACCTCCGCAAGGAACGCCGCACTCAGGCGATCCCGATGGTCCGGAGTCAAAGAGTTGACTTCTGATTCTACACAGCACCCTACACCCTCTAAACCCCTCATCTCACAAACCCCTAAAGCCCTAAACCAGCCCTGTAGAATCTGACACATGCTCGCAGCTCTCGAAAGAAAATAAACAAAGCGCTGCTGTTGGGCTACTGGAGGTGCCTCTGTCTAGTGGTGCCTTCGAAACTCTACTCTTGACAGCGACTTAAAGCTTTAGGATGTAGGCTGCTTAGGGTTTCAGGGTCGAGGGCACAACCATCCCGGACAGGGTTGTGTAGGGGGAGGGTACCGAATGAATTCCCGAATATTCCCAAAAGGCCCTGCTGTCCTAAATCCATAAATCATAAACCCTTAGCCCCGGATTTCTAGAGTTGTAGGCTTATAGAAGGTGCCACAGTAAAAAGAAGCAGCGGCAGCAGTGCAAGGACGGGGCCGGCAGGTCAACAGCTTCTCGCAGGAGCATCCGGCAAAGCTGTTCCTGGGAAGCGTTGCGGTGGGAGCTGCGCCCTTAACGGGGATTGACGGGCTTCAAGGCTTTCAGGGTTCAAGGGCTTGGGGCTTCGGGCTTTCAGGCTTTACGGCTTTCAGGCTTTAGGGCCTCTGGGTTGTTTTGGGTTTTGGTTTGGAGCTTGGAGTTTAGGGGTCTAGGGTTTGGGCTATCCAGGAAGCAAACAGCTGAACGGGCCAAACCGTGCTCTGAAGGCAGACGGAGACGTCCGAGCTGGGCGCTCCCCAATATCGGCCCTGGTGAATGGCGCTGCAGAGAACGGCGCCCAACAGCGGGATGCAGAGGCCTGCCAGCAGGAGCTGGCAAGGCTCTCATGGCCCAGAGTGGCTTGGAGGGTTGATTGGGTCGGTTTGAATCGGTTTGAAGGCTTGAGGGTTGGAAGTTCCCAAGGTGTTAAGGTTGAGTGTTCAAGGAGTTTCTCTTGACGGTCATTGCCACTTCTTGGAGCTTGCTTGCTGCACCCAAGGATACTCAGGCGAAGCTCCAAAACCCCCGAGACCCAGAATTGAAAGCATTTAACGGATTAGGGTTGGGATCTTACCCCTTATCCTAGCAGTCCTTAATCGGCATTGGAAGAAGGGGGGCACGATGATCCCTATGAAGGACTGTTAGTGTAACGGGGAACATCCCAAGATTAGGGTGACCGTTTGTGTAACGGGCAGGCCTTGGCTCCGGCGAAGTCGAACATACAGCTCTGCGAAGCAGCCGCAGCCTCAGTACAGCCAAGCCAAGGTACAAGCACAAGGAGCCCCTGCGATCCAGAGCCCTCCTAGGGTTCTAGGGCTTTTTGGAGCTTTGGGGTTTTGGGGTTTTGGGGTTTAGGGTTTAAGGGCTTAAGGGCCCCCTATTCTTCAGTTCAGGAAGCTTAGTGGAATGTTAGGGTTGGCCGAAACTGTCGGAAACCTGAAAGGCCAGTTCTCCCAATGATGGGCCCGGTTCTGCTGGTGCGAGCCCTGGACCACTCGAAACTGCGAGCATGCAAATTTCTTGCTCTATGGCCGGTCCTCTCCTTAATTTATCGTCACAGCATGCAAAAACCCGAAACCCCGAACCCCCAAACCCTTCATTCACGAGGCGGGGACGCACTGGGCCGGGCTTCGAGGCTTCCCGCAAGATGGGCCTTAGCTCAGGGGTGGTCGGGGTTCTAGGGTTTTGGGGTGTAGGGTTTGGGGTTAAGTCTTAGGGTCTCTAGGTTTGGGGTGTAGGGTTGAGGGGTTCAACCTACGGCTGGTAAGATACTCCACTGGCTCCATGGGGACGAGCCTTCGTGAGAAGAGCGAATTCTGAATAACATTTCGATGCACCAGGTGCTTACCTCAATCTATTTTCATCAGATGCCCTTGAGTTCTTTAAATTCATTTTGCAGTCATTGAAATATCTTGAGACTCGAGGAGAACTGAAACGCTCCCAATTAGAACTAAGCAACTGAAAATGTGAAGAGCATCGCTTGAACTGCTACACTACTCGATTCTAGACTCCAACATTTCGAGCCCATATCCTTGCCGAACCGACTGCAACATTGGCGACGCATACCCCGGACCAGTCACTCTAAGGGGTGTCTGGGGTGTCTAGGGGGGTCTAGGGGGGTCTCGGGGCTTATAAGGGTTTCTAACTCCCCCATGGTCGGGGCCCGGCATCCACTGCTGCGCGGCCTGCGCCCCGCTGGGGGAAGCCGGGCCCTCGAAGGACGGGGAGGCGCAGAGGCGGTCCACCTCGCAGCGGGAAAGGGCTGGCAAGTCTCAAGGTGCCTTTTTGGGGTTTCGAAACTTCCCAAAATGGCTTTCCTTGAGCCTGCTTCTTACGAGACCAGGGCCGGAAAGACCATTTGGAAGATGTGAAAGTCTGGGCCGAAGCTCAGGGTGGAAAGAAGGGGACACAAGGTAGCTCCCCCCCCCCCCCCCCCCCCCCCCCACCACCCCAAAACCCTAACCCTGGACCCCAAACCCCTGAACCGCCTAAAAGCCTCTATACCCTAAATCCCTAAACCCTAAACCCCTAAACCCTAAACCCTCAAGCCCTCAAACCCTCAAACCCCTTACATGTTTGAAGAGGGCCCTTAGGAACCCGCGACGTTCGACTCTCCCGGGGCTGCTGCGAGGTCTCCCAGAAGCTCGCGGCGGTCAGGCCCGCCCCAGGGCTCGGCAGCACCGGGCCTTGTTGGGGTTGCAACTGTGGGTTGGAGGTTCTCGGGGGGGGGGGGGGGGGGGTGGGGTTTGTGGGGTTTTGGGGTTTGGGGTTTGGGGTTTGGGGTTTGGGGTTTGGGAATGGGGCTTAGGGTTTGGGGTTTGGGAAAGTTTGCCGTGTGTCGCTTGCCCAGCTCCCAGCGAATCAAGCACTCCTCAGCCCCAAAAAGGGGATCCTAGTGGTTGGGGGTGTAGAGTCTCTTTTAGGACCCCATAGAACCCTCAACCCAAAACCATGCACACCCCAACCCCATGGGTTCTGACTCCAGCTCAAATCTGGGAAGCCGGCGCCCGCCGCCGGTCGAGGGCCTCGTGAAGGCCGCTGCCTGGATCACTTCTGGGAGCTTCGGCCGAAGATATCTAGGGATTAGGGTCTACATTTTAGGGTTTAGGGGTTTAGGGTACCCGCGTTTAGTGGATTAAGTGTAGGGGGTAGGGAGAGCGAGCGAAAGAGAGAGAGAGAGAGAGAGAGAGAGAGAGAGAGAGAGAGAGAGAGAGAGAGAGAGAGAGAGAGAGAGAGAGAGAGAGAGAGAGGGAGGGAGGGGGGGGGGAGGGGGGGGGAGGGAAAACACAAGATAACAGAAGAGGAACGAAGGATTGGGTGCCCCGCTGATGCCGCCCATGGCCTTGAACTCCTCAGGCCTCAGGCTCGGGGCCCCAGACCCGAGCTTCGGTAAGCTTGGGCGAGTTGGAAGCGTTGGAGGCTGACGATGTCTGGCTGCGAAGGGTCGAAGCAAGGCAGAGGGAGTTGACCCCCAGCCTTTCTCTTTCGGGCTTTGGCTCCCTTTGGGGTTTAAGATGTTTTTGGAACTTCGACCCTTTTGGGCTTGGGGTGTTAGGCCGTGGGGAGGCTAACTTGGGGGGCCTGCGACTTCCGCAGCTCTCAGGCAGCCACCCGTTGTTCAGGAGCCGATGGCGGCCACTTCGCGAGGGAGGCTCCCCACAGCCCAGGCCTCACTTTAAAAAAAAAACCTACACTCCCTAAAGCCTATATATAAACCCCTACAAACAATACCCGAAGCTCCCTAAGCTCCCTAAGCTCCCCAAGGTCCTACGCCTACGCCCAAGCAGCGCCATTTCATTCGAATCCCTCCACTCCTTGCAGAATCAGGTCTTAATCGGACATTCCCTACTAAGCCCTACTAAGAACCTGCAGGGCTGAGGGCAGGCACAGACCCAGGTTGCCGCCGTCTGACCTCCCATTTCACAGCTTCTGCAGAGGATCTCGCCGAGCCCTCCGCAAACCCACAGGAAGCCCAAAACTTCCCAAAAACTTAAAACAATGGGACGAAGCTGCCCTTCAGCCTTTTGCGGCATGTTTGTGAGCCCCAGCAAGGCCCTGAGCAGAACAGAAAACAAACCTCCGCAGCAAAACGAGTCTGAAACCCACAAAGTGCGTGGCGCACGCCAATTTGGGGCCCGCGCTGAGCCCTCAAAACCCTCAACCCAAAAAAAATGTTGTGGGCCTTGTGCGTCCACGGCCGACACGTCTGCGCCATGCTCCCAAAGCAGCCGCGCGCACGGGAGGCTTCCAGAAAGCCTCAGGCTCCATGCGTGATTCTCTTTGCTTTCACCGGATTTGGGCTCTCTAGCTTTTGGGGGAGGGCTCTTCTGAGGGCTGTTGACGACTCTAGGAATCAACGATGCTAGGTCTGCGAGGGCGCCGCTTCACCCAGCTCTTTTTCAGAGGATCCGGAAATCGCGCTCAAGCCCTCAAGCCCCAACTTCCCAGCAGGGGGGATCCCTTCCCCAAGCAAAGAGAAACCCAAACGTCTCGAAAGGCCCCTGGCGCTGCAAGCATCAGCGGCGTGATTCCTGGACAGTCTCTCTGAGGTTTAGGGTTTGATGGGCTTGTAGGCTGAGAGCTGGCCGCTTCAACGAAAGCCCTTTCGGAGACTGCATCTCTCGGCCAACCCCTGAGAGGTAAGAAGCAAGCCAATTGCACAGCAACCCTTCCCAAAACCGTTTGAAACCCCAAGCCCCACACAAATATCCCAAATATCACCCTAAGCCGTTTCGACCCTTTGCCAACTCAATGGTCAACCAACTACGGCCGAAATCACCCAAAATCAGGCCCTACTCATCACCTCGTGTGGGGAGGGTGCGCCTCCATGGGCTCTCACGTCGTAGAACGCTTTTGAGCGAAGAAGCAACGCGACCTCAAAGCCGACCCCCTCCCCAGACCCCGCGAGTATCTCCAGGGAAGTTTGAGGATGTTCAGGGGGAGCCAAGAGCCATGGGGCGAAATAAGTCGCGCGCTGCATCGGGAGAGCCAGCAAAGGCCGCGTAGTGCAGCGCCGTGAGCCCCTCCTCGGCACCGTGGCTTCGATGGGCCCTGAAGCTCTCCATACTGCCATATTCAACAACTTTCGGGGTTTAGGGCTTCGGGTATAGGCATAGGGTTTAGGGTTTACCGTTTAGGGTGTAGGCCCCCCCCCCCACCTTCTTTTCCCCTTGCTGAAGGGAGCGAAGGGGAAAAAAGCAGAGTCCAAACGCCGGACTTCCCGGGGAGCGGGCATTGTCTACCTTTGGCCGGACGCCTGAGTCAAGAAGCTGCTGCAGTACCTGCACTACGGACTGCGAGGGCTTTGGGTCCAAGTGCTTGGTTGGGCTCGGGAGTGAAAAAGGCCTACCACGACTACAGAAGGGGGCATCTCAAGCCGCCATGCATGCGCCCCCAGAAAGAATGCCGTCCTCCCTCCAGACCCCCACCGGCAAAAGCAACAGTCCTCGAACACAGAAATGCAAGTTGAAAACCGTGAAGTAGACGCAACTCATCGTCACAAAACAGCTGCCAGTGGTCAAGACGAACCTGCGAAGATATTCTTGAAACACACTAAACCCCAAACCCTACCTGAACCCTAAACCCTAAACCCTAAACCCTGAACCCTGAACCCTGAACCCTGAACCCTAAACCCTAAACCCTAAACCCTAAACCCTAAACCCTAAACCCATCTCAAGATTGGAGGGAGGCCTTGGCGGCCTTGGGCTCGGCCAGCACGGTCATCGCGGCGTAGTCCTGGCTTGGAGGGCCCTCCCCCCCCCTCCTTTTGTAGCGGACTTGTGCGCCCCCACGAGGTGGATGGCTTTCGCGTATTTGTTTGCTGCAGCAAGCGGAAGACGAAGTCGATCCCCAAAGGTTTAAGGTTTAGGGTTTAGGGTTCAGGGCTTTCTTTCTAAGATTCATTGGTGCAACTTACGGGGTTTGGCGCTCAGGGTTCAGGGCCTGCTCTCGTCCCTTCTCAGGTCGCGGCGAGGAGGGAGCGTCCCTCCTGGTCGCAGCTGCCGCTGCCCACGTCGTAGACTTCACTCTGGCCCATGGCCTTGAAGTGCAAGGAAGGTTGCAAAAAGGTACCCTAAACCCTAAACCCTAAACCCTAAACCCTAAACCCTGAACCCCAAATTTGTTGGGGCAGCTCCGGGGCCGCTGCATCGATGGTCTCGGCAACCCACTCCCATTTGCCTCAGCTCTCCGCTCTCTCTTTTTGCTCTCTCTCTTTTCTTGTACCCTTCTGCCCCAAGAGAAGATGAGAAGAAGGTGGCAGAAGCCCGGCTTGTGGCATCTTGCCCGCACTCTTGCTATGGATATTTGCCGCTAATATTCCTAGAATGTTGTGAAGAAGGCAGGGCCAAGGAAGGCGCCGAAGCTGGCCCGGCGCAGGACCTGGCAGGCGGACGTGCTGTCTGCGGGCCAACATTCGGGCGCTCGTCTGGGCCTCCTGTGAGAGCCAGCCGACCAACTCCGAGCCGACCTTGGCTTCGGTTGGGGGGGGAGAGGGGGGGAGAGAGAAGCCGGTTTAGGAAGTTTTTTGGGGGGGGTTGGCGGTTTTGGGGGGTTTTGGGGGGTTTTTAGGCAAAGAGAAGCCTATACGAGCCTTTCTCTGATCACGGCTTCTGGCATGGGGTCAATGAAGCCTGAAAGGGACCTTTGCAGAGCTTCGCCGGCTGCAAGTTGCCGCCCATCGGGTGAGATGTCGGTGTTGAGATGGGGTGGAGGCAGTTTCGGCTGCACTCACCACCCTGGATCTGGTCCTCGCAGCTGTTTAGGCAGAGGTAGGTTCAGGAGCAGCTCTTCGCGATGAGAAATGCCGGATCAGTGCATGAACTTCCAGATCAGCGTGCCGATGAGCCCCATCCGACACTCGTCCTCACGTCTCATGGATCGCATACTCGGGAATTCCCCAAACAGTGTGCCAACACTATCGGGTTCTTACGTCAAGGGTAGACGAAGGTTAGATCGGGGTGCTCGCCCGGCGCCCCCGAAACGAGCGCGAAACGCGGACGTTGTTCCTCGAGCGGTAGTCGCATTCTGGACGATATGTTTTTTTCCACAGCGTAGGCTCGGGCGCGGATTCCCGAGCCTCGATTACATTCTTTCGGCGTCGTGGATATGTAATCGCCCTCGCGCCTAGGCCCCGTGCATGTCGTATCGTGCTTCGGGTGGAAATCGCACCATCCGCCTAGGTCCCGTGCGTTTTTTGTGGCTTGCATGGCGTCGTGGAATCCTGCGCTTTGGGCCGTTGACACTGTCGTCGCTTTTGGACGTTGGGGCTCGCCAAATGCGAAACTGTCAACGCTTTTGGGCGTTTTGGCATTTCGGGATGTTGGAAATCGCGCTCCCCCCTGCCCTGGGCGCTGAGGACGTCTGGAGGCATCAAAGTCGCTCTTTCGCGATCAGTGAGACTCTTCGTGTCCCTACATGGACTCTCACTTTTTGGGGTCTACGCTGTAAAGGGTCTCTGTAGCGGTCCCTCCCAGTACGAGCAAGAACCATCTTTTGTCCACATGTAAAAGCAGAGAAACCGCAGGGCGATTCAAAAAGGGGGGGATTCTCAGACGTATCGCCACGGCGCCACCTTGCTCCAGCGAATGAACTCCTTCAGCCACACCACCGTGCGCCCCCGCACGGCCACGAATCCCGACCCCGGCCGCTTCTGGTTCACCAGAAGCACGCCGTCCTTGGGTCCTCAAGTTGCAGAAAGTTGCAGAGAAAACACAAGTTGAGCAACAGAATTAACACAGAGCGGCTCTCCGCAGCGAGCGCTTTCTGTGGAGGCGTTTTGATTTCCGTTCTAACCACTGAGCTCCCATCCAAGGCTGGTTGCGCACACACTGGACGGCCAGGCCCAGTGAAACGCCTTCATCGGTTTCTTCCTCTCCAGGCGGCGAATGTTTCCTTGCCGGGAACGTCTCTAAGCCTACTGCTCACGGGAGGCCTTACATTCCAGAGCTCTGAATGCGTGACGTAAGAGGTCTTTCCCCGGCACAGAAGTGGCAAGTGAGTCGACACATCCTGCATGTGTGGGGTGCCCTTAGCCTCAACCTCCAAAAACCCGAAGCACCCTAAACACCCTAAGCCCCCCCAAAACCCCCCTGAACCCTCTAAACCCCTTAACCGCACACTCGCAGACGATGGCACGGACCGCGTGCGCCGCCATCTCTTCGGCAGGGAACGAGTTCTTCGGCAGCGGGAGCAACCCAGGAACCTCTCTCTTTGGAGGTTTCTCGGGTTAAGGGGCTTCTGTTCGGGATTGGGGCAAATGTGGTATGGGAAGGGGAGTTGAGGGTTTAAAGGAACTTGTCTTGGAGGATGGAGGACCCGCAAGAAAGCCTCAAGGCTGCTAGGAGCAGGGGATAGCAGGGGTTCCGCGTCCCGTGCTGCCGAGGCACGTCGTCAGCGCAGTTGCCGACGGCAAAAACCTTCCCGTCAGCGAAAAGGGAAGCCTTGGACTGGTATTTGTAAGGGTTTTCGGGGCATAGGGGTTTGGGGTTTAGGCCTTTAGGGTACAGGGTTGTAGGGTTTAGGGTTCAGGGTTCAAGGGCTTAGGGGGTGTTGAGTTTCCGATGCAGGGAAGTCCCACAGGCGCAGGGGAGGCCCGTGCAGCCGGGCGTCGCTGCCTCCATCGCTCTGGGTCACCTGCAAAGTCCTCGGGGGGGGCGATTGTCGCCAGCTGTCGCAATACGTTGAAATATTCCCCCTTGTTTATCATCCCTATTCAGGATTGTTAGCGAAAGGGGCAGGATTGTTAGTAAAAAGGGGAATCTGTGAAACACGTGGCAAAGTTAATTGTCGGGGCCGTGCCGCGAAAATGCTTTTCGGGCGCAGGTTCGAATATGGAGCATAATTGCAGACCTGCCCACATAAGTGTGAGTGGAAGTGGGCACGCATATCCCGGCCCAATGTCAAGGGAAGGGGATGCAGATTGTTGCAGACCTCGTGAACGTACATCCGACTTCGGCTGAGGCTCGGCGTCACCTTGACCCAGCCCTTGCTACTCCGGCACCCGGACGGCAAGAACTCGCAGTGCCTTGGCGAAGGCGGAAATCAAAAAACATCCACCCGGCCCCCCCCAACAGCCCAATGCACAACCTCAAAATCTTGCCACTTACTGCCTTTTCTAAAAAAAGGGAGAGGCGCGGCTGCATGCCCACGCTTTTGAAGACCCGGTCCGGGGGCGAGCACCCGACCTTGTTCCAGAACCTCGTGGCGTTCAACTCCGAGTAGCGCGTCCCACAGATGGTCCTGAGGCGCACAGCATGTCTCTCAAGCTGGGGCCATAGGAGCTACGCTCACAAAAATGTGAGGCCTGGGCATGACGAGGCTCGTAATATTGTTCTTCTGCAGGTGGCGCTGAATGTACTTCCGGGCGCCCGGGCACATGGACGGGCAAACACCTCTGTTGCTGCCCACCAGGGTAATCTGAAGCTTGGGGTAGTAGTATCGCAGCTCGGCTGCATACTCCACCTGAGTGACGGCAAGAGCGCTTTTTGGTCTTCAGTTGTTGTTGCAAGTGCGCGGGGGCGGGGGGGGGGGGGGGGGGTTCTTCTGCTGTGGGTTCTTTTGCTGTGGGTGCCGGGGTGCGCCTTGTTGTTCGCAACGGGCGCGGGTGCGGGGCGAGTCTCTCTGGACTGCCATAAGACATCCTCTGCATTTCCAGATGTTCATGGGAAACCTCTATGTTCAGCCATATTTCCAAAAAAAGAACTTTCCCTCCTGGATGGAAACCTCGATGCCCTCAGGAGTTTCAAAAGCATCGGGAAAACCTCGATTTCTTCTAAGCGTTCGCAAAGCCACCCCTGTGTTGAATGTTCTAACCGGAAACATCGATTTCCTCTCGTTAGCTAGTTACATAGGGATCATGTCTCTGTTCTTTGAATAGATAGGAAACCTCCATTTACCCCATGTTCGTTAATTCTTGCTTGTATATCTTTGACCATTTACAACGTCGACATTCCGGTTGAAGAGGTAAGAAAAACACGGACTGACCAAATTTGGCTTCAAAGCTTGGACAAAGTGGGAAACCATTGAACGGCTTAATGTGGGCTCTTGAAGGAATGTTCTGTGATGGCATGACACTCCTGGAGGCAAGTTTTGCACAGCTGAAAAGAGCGGGGGCGGGGGAAAGTGTGCCACATTTTCGTAGGAACAGGTGTGGGGGCGCGTTAATTCTTCTGCGGGCGCGGGCCAGCTCACTCACTCCCCAAGGAAACAGCACCGACAGCAAAAACAAAACCCGCAAAACAAAAAGGAATAAACAATACGCCATCTTTAGACATGGGTTTAGGTTTCAGGATGTTTCAGGCTTTGGGGGGGGGTTCTCTGAAAAAGATCACATCCCAGGCACACCGACATAGCCGGCGCCGATCACGGCGACGTGCGCGCCCCGGGCGGCGAGCTCCGATAGCTTGGCGTTCTCCTGAGCTCTTCACAAAACAAAAAAGAGAGAGAGAGAGAGAGCTTTGAGAGAGAGAGCTTTGAGAGAGATCATGGTCTGGTTCCTTTTGGAGAGGTTCCGTGGATCCCCCAAGTATATGCCCCCAAACAAAGAGAACCAAAGATTTGTGTAGAGATCTGAAGAAAGCCAAAAAAATAGCAAAGGCAATGGCTGAAGCCAGGGTTCGCTGTCAATCCGCTCTCGCCTGCCCTCCAAACTCCGCTCACGGTCCTTCCTTCCCGTTGTGAACTCGCTTTGGTTGTGTTGTTTCAAAGGGTTTAGGGACGTTTGTGGCCCAGGGTTTATGGGTCTGCAACAAAGAACTAACTTTCTACGACCCTTAAGGAGGCCGCCCCCTAAAACCCTAAAACCCTAAGCCCTAAGCCCTAAACCCTACACCCAAAACATGCCCCATGCACCCCCTCGCCCCCTGAATGCGCGGATTTTGGTCGGAGCCGGACCCCAGGAGAGAGGCGTACCAGAGGTTGCTGCTGTAGTGGCACCCGGCGGAGATGATGCAGTAGTCCTCTTCTGCTTCTGCAAAAACGCTGTTTCTAGGGGTCTGATTAGGGTTAGGTTGGGGTTGTGGGGAAAGCTTTGGCAGGAGACCGCTTCAACTTCTCTGCCGAGGGGCGTATGGCAGCGCCAGGAGCTGAGGATTCTTCTTGCTTGTGTTGCTGAGCTGCACCAGCACCTAAAATACAAGAAGAAAGGCTGGTGAGAAAGTACGCGCCTCAAAGGGCGAATAGAATGCAGCACGGTGCATATGGAGTGCAGCACTGCAGGGAAAAAATCTGCCTCCTTCTCGTCGATCTTCTTGGCGGCTCCCCAAATCCAGGCCACCTTCATCTTGTTGCACAAGCTGGGATAGTCAATCACCAGCTTCTTGTACAGCTGCGGCTGCGTGTATGGCCGCACCATCCCGGGGGAGAACTCGAAGAACCTCAGCCCAGCTCAGAGTAGAGGGGGGTTTAGGGTTTGGGGTTTAGGGTTTAGGGGGTACTATAATCCCCATGAAGGACTGTTTAGTAGCTCTTCGCATCAGGGGGGAACATCCCAATGCAAGTCCCAGGGCACTCCTTGGCATCCACCAGCGTCACCTCGAAGTCGTGTCGTAATCGCCGGGCCGCCGCGAGCCCGGCAAAGCCCCCACCTCTGCAGGGACTGGCGGGGCGTTCCTCTCTCTCTCTCTCTCTGTCTTGCTCTCTCCCTCTGGCGGGTTTGGGGTTTGGGGTTTAGGGTTTAGGGTTTATTGACATGACGAAGGGTTCTGGTCCAGGGAAAGTTTCGAGGAGTTGCGAGGAGCTTCTGTTTGGGATTGTTCTTAATAATTTCCAAGTCTCGGGGGCTTGAGGGTTGAGGGCTCAGGGTTTAGGGTTTAGGGTTTAGGGTTTTTGGATTCCTGGTTGTGAAATCCGAGTCCGAGCTGCCAACGACCACCACCTTCTTCTTTGTCACGGGGCGAGAGGGGACCAACGACAAGGACTCTGGCAAGGCCACCAAACCAAGGAGCAGCGCCAACCTGGAAAGCTGTCTACAACTTTAGAAGCTGACTTTTCTCACTTCTGACCCCCGACAGTGTAACACCCTGCACCCGAAACCCTAACCCTAAACCCCAAAACCCCAAACCCCAAACCCTAAACCCTAAACCCGACCTAGAGCAGCTCCTGGGGCCCACACAAGCAAGACGCGCAAGTGAAGCACCGGCCCGGCCCGCACGCGCCCGGCGGGCCTGGCCAGAGCTGGGCTCTTAAGCGGGGGGGGGGTGGGGGATGGGGATGTTGGGATGTTTAGGTTCAGGAGGCTCCAAAGCTTGCAGATCTTGGGGCCTCGTTTCCGCCGCATGAGGCTAACGGGGGGATCCGGCAGAAGCTTTGAGGCGCAAGACGGCTTCGGATAAGGCCGGAAGAAGGCCCAGCATACCACAAGAGGGTTCAGGATTCAAGGTTCCAAGGTTCAAAGGTTCAAGGTTCAGGGTTTTGGGTCTAGGGTCTAGGGTCTAAGGTCTAGGGTTTCGGGTTTCGGGTTTAGGGTTTAGGGTAGTCGCTCAGCAGAGTCAGAGCATCTCAGTGTCCTCCGAGTGTAAGGTTCCAGCCCAACCAGCAGCCACACACACGTGGCCCACTCGCCTGTTCATCCAAGGCTCGAGGTCAGCATCTCTGCTTGCTGAGCCCCCTTCCCCCCAGCAGCCAAAGCAATCTTGCGTTCTGGCATCAGCCGTTCTGTTGCCCTAGGACCACCTCGGACCACTTAGGAGCCCTGGCGTCTTGATTCCGGTGTGAAAGAGAGCCGCGCACTCTCGCAAGACTGGCAGAAAGAAGAAAGAAAAAAACACCAAAAAAGAGAGCCGGTTCTGAACCTTGTCGTGAAAGTTGCTCTGGACCTTGGTATCGGCTGCTTGGACAGCTCAGCTCTCAGGTCGAAAGGAACGAGCCCCGAGGTCGAGGCCAAAGAGCCTCCTGACGCTCGCCGGCCGTAGGCACCTGATGCCCCCCCCCCCAGAGTCACAAAAAAAGGAACTCGGAGGGTCAAAAGCATGCGTCATATTGCGTCATGAAGGCCACCGAAGTTGAAGCCGATCAGATCTCCGAGGGACGCACGCGGAAGTGCGTCGTAGCCTAAGGGACAAGAGAAGGGGCACACAGAGCTGCCTTCGGAGCTCGGTCGAGTTGGCGCGCCAGCGCTTTTTTGTTTCAAAAGTAAGGGCCGGTCGGCGAGCTTGTCGCCCGAGGACTTCTCTATCAGCAGCACCTCACCGGACGCCACAAGGAAAAGATCAAAGGAAAGGGTGGGAAACCGCGGGCTGTGCGGCCCCTGAGACATCTCGTGCCAGGCAAAATGCTATGTAGCATGATGTCGTCTAACATAAAGATACAACAAGCATCATATTTATTCGGTCATCTCAAATTCATCTCTAACTCTAATCATGGGAAAAGAAGAGTGTTCCGTAGCAACTGCCCTCCGGTTTCCCACACTTCTTGGCTGTGAGCGGCACCTGTGCCTGCAAGCCGCCGTCGGCCTTCCGCTCCTGCCCTGCAGCGAAGTGGGGAGTCAATTAGCTTCTCTCGGGCTGATTTTTCACAAAGAAAGGGGCTTTTTGAAGCTGGCTGAAGTCCTCGGGATTTAGGGCGCCAGGTCAAGGGAAAAGACTTCTCTCAAATCCAGAGCATGGCGAAGAATGCGGGCTACCTTTTGAGGGATCCTTTCAGGGAGGGAGGGAAACTTCTACTGTGCTTGAGCGAAAGGGAGCGGACCTACATTTGTCTGTGGGCGCCACTCACTGCGTCTCCAGAGAAGGCCACTTGCTCGCCGAAGAGCCACGAGGAGCTATGTCCACCTCTGTCTTTCAAGGTCTTTTGCTTTCAGGGGTTTGTGTTGAGTTGGAGGTTCAGGGTTTAGGGTTTCGGGTTTAGGGCTTAAGGGTTTAAGGGCCACCAAAAGAAAAAGCCCCGTACCCCGACTCTGCCCTGGTGCACATGGCGGCCGCGGCTGGAGCCCCGCGCCTTTGATCTCACCCTTCACGGCCGCTGTCGTTTTGGACTCTGCGTAGGAGGACCTCCAGCCCAACATATCTGACACAAACCCACAAATTCCAGCATAGATGGCTAACCCTTCAATGCGCAGCTTGAGGGAAGGAGCCCCATCCCAAAACCCTAAGGGCACCGAGAACCCCAACAAAACGAAAAGGCCCCGAAAGAACCCATTTCGCTCTCGGGCTCCGCACTCCGGGAACAGGGCCAAAGTAAGGGCTGCCCGTGGCCTGGAGAGAAAAAACAAACTCGGGGGGCGAACTCCTGTGTTGAGAGATGCAGTTTTCAGGCATTGGGTTGACACGGTTGGGACTAGAAGTGCAGGCCCGTTACATCCGCCGACCCTGGCGGCGTGTTGGATGGGTTTCTGGAGGTGAAAACCTCCCTCTTTCCCTCCTTACCCCCCCACGCGCGAGGGGTTCCCCCAAATCTCTGAAGCGCTTTCACAATGTCCCGATGGTCGAAAAACCTAAAAGAGCCGATCTTGATCCTTCCGGATTCACAGTGTCTCTCCAAGACCTCTCCCAAGGTCCCCGGACTGGAAGAGGCGTATCTCGCAGCAGAGCTCCACGTTGGGCTCCAGCCACCTGCGCTGCCCGCGTCATCCACACTTCCGATGCCCAGCGACACAACAGCCACAATAGCCAGTCAGGGCGCCTGTCGCGAATCTCCACGGCTCCCAGCAGCACACGCCTGGAGAAGTGAAGAAAGTCCGGAGTTCGAGAGAAAAACTTTACATCTCCCCTCCCAAAAAGAACCAAAGAAAGCACTTCCGCTTCTGTTGAGTGCCCTGGCAGTGGAGCTTCTACTGGAAGGCGCAGGAGTTGGGACCGTTCCAGCCTAAGAGGGCCAAAATCGATGAAAGAAAACACAAGCCGCTGCTTCGCGGGTCTCCAGAGGCTTCACTGAAGGTCTCCTTCTCCCGGGCCCGGGCTGGACGCCCTGGAGCAGAAAGCGACTTCCTCAAACATTTTGGACAGAAAACGCTCTCCGACATCCACCGGCACAAAGACCGACACCCTGGCCGGTCTACTCAGCGCGCCGCCGTCATCTTCTGTCCTGCCCGCTGTAGGGGCCTGCAAACCCCCTTCCCCGCGCCCCCCCTCAACTTCTCTTGTAAACTCACCACCCCCTCCCGATCCCAAGGATGCCTGGAAGTGCGGCGCAGTGTTGCAAGTCTCGAGACCCTCTGACAAGCAAGGACCTGGTCATAGACATGGAGGGCCGTGCTTTGTTTGCCAAACAGAAAGGCTCAAGAAAAAGCCTTCTCCCTTGTTAACTCGCCTTCATTCGCCTTGGAAGGCAACGCAGTCGGTGGGAGTTGTGGACGAAGTGCCTGGCCAGCTCTCAGTCTTCGGCTGCTATGGTTGCTTTAGGATTGCTCACTCTTGAATTCACTCCGGTTCTCTGGGCTTTCTGGATCTTCGGGATCTTCATCCATCATGGCGAGCCTCTCCCGTTGGTTGCGATTAAACCCTAGACCTTGGGGATGTTGCCCCGAATACGAACTGTCCTTTTTTAGGGATAAAAAAATAAGGAATACTAAAATCTCTATTGAGGACTGTTAGTATAGGGGAAGACATCCCAGCCTAAACCCCCTTAAAAGCTCAGAAGCTCTGGAGCGCTCCTTTGTGTCGACCGACGTGCTCGAAAGACGTGGCACCGAATCGAAGGAGCAGGAATCCGCCAGACCTTCACAACATCCAACGCTTCAAGGGTCCAGGGTTGAGGGTCCAGGGTTTTGGGTTTAGGGTTTAGGGTTTAGGGTTTAGGGTTCAGGGTTCAGGGTTTAGGGTTTAGGGTTTAGGGTTTAGGGTTTAGGGTTTAGGTAGGGATCAAGGTGCCATAATACCACGAGCTCGAATCAGGCGTGGCAGAAGCAACACAGCTCTCGGAGCCTCGTACAAGCTAGTTAAGAACGCATCAAAACATGGCCAGCTGCGATCACGCAAAGCAAGGCTTAAACTCCATTCGCCAAACTCTTCAGCAGCGCTCTCACGCCTGTGAGCGAATGAGTCTTCTGGACCTGACTTTCGCACTGCAGAAGGAGCTTACTTCGGGAAATGGCAAAGCCACACAACGCTCATAGAACTTTCCTAGACTCGTAGCATTGCTCGGCGACTCAGGTCTGCACCGCTGTAGCAGAAGAACAGCAACCCATGGCCTCAGTTTCCCATTTCCCCTGGTCTCTTATTCGCGTTGATTTCTGTTGCGCATCCATTCGGACCTTCGAACATCTTCGAACGTCTTCGAACACCCCCGAGTGGCCAGCAGAATCGTTTGGAGATCGCGGAGTGACAGTGGTAACTTCCGACTCCTGCGCAGCATCAAGCAGCCGTTGAAGGTTGCCCGTCTACAAGTTGCAAGCTTCACCCTCCAACAGCGTGCGGGCCTCGCGACTTACGCCAAGGCCCATCGCAGTGCCCGAACTGCAGAAAATCCACCCAGGCACCTTCAACCTGGCATCAACACGGGACCAATGAGATTTGGGGGGTTCATTCTTGGGCTTCGTCACGAGCTGAATTCTGAAAGCGAAGCAGACTGAACTGCCGCATGTGCCTTGGAGCATCAAAGCCAGCTTTTCCAAAGACTACGGATCCTGTCGAATTCCTACTACTGAAGATCATAAAACTGAGTCGGTGTTGGTGTCTCATGTTGCTGCGAGTTCTGTCAGCTCCTGCTGTTCAACTCTGTGTCTGATTCACTTGAAAAGCTGCAGATCTTCGCTCGCATGCGAGAATGCAGTTGCATGACGAGGTTTCAGCGTCGTTCCAGCTTAATGTTATCCAAATCCGACAAGGTTCGGGTGGGGTGAGTGTAGCCAGGTTCTGCCGAAGCTTCAGACACCACCCAAGGTTGCCTAAACATTTGTGATCATAGTTGGTGGGGTGGCGAGGGGGACCTTCTGAAGCATCTTGAACCTGCATGAACCCCCCTTTCCTGGAGTGTTACATGAACCCCCCATGTTCTTGCTGCATCTGGACTGGGAGATTTGCCTTTCAGCCGAGAACCCTTCAGAAAGCCACAGAGCTCAGAATCCTCCGGGGATTGCTGGAATCTGCTTCGCAGTTAGGACGGTTTAGGGTCTAGGGTTTAGGGTTTAGGGTTTAGGTTTGAGGGTTGAGGGTCTAGGGTCTAGGCTTTAGGGTTTAGGACTGTCTTACGCGTTGCTTCTGGAAACACGAGGAAATTCCCCCCGAGGCCATCGAATTGCGCCTCTTTCTGCTGTGCAAAGGTTTCGGCTTCGATACCCAAAGGTGTTTTTCCTCCCTCCTGCAGCGTTCTTGCGCAAGAGCTCCTGTCCAAATCAGGGCGCTAGCATCGCGAGGGTTCGGCTTGAAACATATTGGAGCCACAACGTTACTTGCATGTGCAAAGTTTACGATGTGCGGTTTTGTCGGAATCTGGAATTGTGATAAGAGCAATTTAATCACACCTCAAAAGCTGATACTTGGCTGTGACACACTGCTTAACTACTGATGTTGCCAAGTGCCTAGTCACATGTGCTGAGAGCTATGTACAGCAGGGATCCCTTTTCGAGAGGTCCTTGCTATCAGAACTGCTAGAGTTGTAGATTGGGAATTAATGCTCAGGGACATCTTGTCGTAAAAGGGGAGCAAGGACCCAACTGTGACAGAAAAGGTACCCAGTTTGTCTTGGGTCCACAACCTCGGCCATATCCGGACGACTGCATAACTTCAGCAGCTACTGTAGCATATCCAGCATATGATTCTCGGACGAGAGATTCCCAAGCTATCAAGCGTCGAGCCTTGACTCCGTTGACCTTTCAAATTTCAAAGCGGTCAATTGGAATCATCAGCAGCTGGCCACTAGCCAAGCGAAGCCAGGGAAACCTGGGGCGGTGCAGGTTTCCGGAAAGAAAAAACATCAAAATGGCACACGATGATGACACACTCACGAAGTACGTCATCGTTCCTGATTCAAGCCGCCGGGAGCAGGTGATCAAGCGTTCAACATGCCTGAAAGCCAGCCCCAGCCAGCCCCAGCCAGCCCCAGCCAGCCCAGCCAGCCCCTCCAAACAGAAATGCCCCATTTGGTACCACGCAACAACGCTTTTCCCCCATGGATTTGCCGTCCGAGGGTCCAAGAACCTGTAGGAGCACTCAAGGAAGAAGTCTAAGTTACGTGAATACTTCCCACCCTGTTGACGGACAGGTGTCTTCCTAAACATTCCTGTTGGACCATGGTTTGACTCATGCACAGGCAACGTGTGCACGTCGGAGGTAGCTGCCCAGCCTCCGTGCCAAGACATCGTGCTTTACCCTGCTGCCCGGTTCTCGCATGCCTTCACAACTGAAATGAAGCTCCTTCAGCGCAATAAGACTGCGCGACTATTCTGCTGTTCTTGGCGCTGAAACGTGTCGCCTAGCCAGGCAAGCAACCAAAAATCTCAGGCTGTGGCCGAAGTGACTTGGCTCAAAGGATTGCCTGGGAACATCTACCATGGCCAAGCAAACTTGAGCGGCAGAAGTAGGCGAAATGTTGCACATGATGCGGGGTAAATGATGCGGGCGTTTGAAAAAAACGGCATTGTGTTTTCAGGCTTCCGTGGAGAAGGCCAACGAAGTGGCAAATGCACATGGACGCTTCCCAGGTGGAACCCAGGTGTCGCAGACAGGAAAGGTTCAGAGACGCAGGCGCGCCTCGGCCAAGCGCTCCAGGTACTGCTTCTTGGCCATGAGTTCCGGGGCACGGCGCAACCTAAGCGAAGCGTTGTGAAGGGAACGACGAATGCTGTGGCAGGTTTGAGGTCACTGCTTGAGCTCCTGGGCCGGAGTGAGCGCTGAAAGCGCCTTCGCTCAACATTCCGACCCGAACGTCTCACGCGGCTCGGGCTTATGGTTTTGTTACAACACGCTCGCAGAGTTTCAGTGGCCACTGATCCAGCTCTTTGAAATGATGTTGCCCAAGTTGCGAGCCACAATCCTACTTGCATGACTCCGGGCCCTGGGTGACATTGCTGTTGGACAGGATCTTTGGATTTGCTTCTGCACCGACAACGCAACTTGTCAACGAGAACCGTGACACAGTATGAAGCAACTGCAAGGAACAACTCAAACACCTAGAAGTAGCTTGCAAGCGACCTCGCTAGATCACAAACGCACGCGGCTAAGCCATGCAAGAATTCGTGCAGTTTTCGCGAAGACCAGCACCGTCCACTCATTTTCGATGACAAAGAACAAGGACCTCTTTTCAAACACCTCCTGTTCAGCAGATAGGTTTGAGCATCCCGGACGTTCTATCCTCTGGCCCGTAGCGGGATCTACGCACAAGTGATGGGTTCGTCCACATCGGCAGGTGGCTGCTGTCAAACATACTCAAACACGTGCGACAGGCCGTCGCGCTCTCTTCAACCCTGCTGCCCCGTGCCCATGCCTTCAAATGCTCGATCTCTTTGAGTTTCTTCTTGCACAGGTTGTGCTGGTTGCGCTGCGCCTAGCATCGATCTGTCTGACACTGACGCCCGCAGTAAGCTTGCACTTCCAGTGCCGGTTCGCAGGAGACACTCATGTGAACTATAGAGCTCACGAACTCAGGCGGTGGCAGCGCTGAGCCGCTTCAAAGGGTTGCCTCAGAGCAGCCGCCAAGCTCGCCCCTGGAACCCCAACGGACTTCTCGCTAAATGTTTACTATCCACGGCGGCGCGTGCTCATAAAGCCGCGTTAGTCCACACAATGCAGCGGAGCGTACTGAGGCATGAGCTTTGCGGCAACGGCTCAACCTGCAAAAGCACCACGACACAAAGTAATCCCGACGACTCCTGCAACCTGCAGCCTGGTACTAGGACGTCAGTCTATCACCGTTTAGTTGCGATGCCTAACCCAGAAGCAGTGTCGCAATGCGCACGCGGCACTCTGCAAATCACCAAGTCTTACCAGTATCTTGCTGGGAACTTCAACAGCTTTTTCAATGAAAGGGAATACGATCAACGAATCATTTTGGAACCTGACCTGTCAGCAACGCAAAGTCTCAGGCTGTGGCCGGGACCACTCGGTTCAAAGGATTGCCTGGGGGCGTCTGCCATGGCCAACTCACAACTTGACGACTCACCATTGGCACGTGTTTAGGCGAGTGTTTCGGGGTTATGAAACGATATTGAAATGATTATTGGGATCGGCTCCCCCAGTCCCCGTTGAAGCACCAAGTCGGTCTAAGACTGGATCCCAGAAGGACTGGCACGCCCTTCTCAGGAAGGTCCTGCGCAAACTTGAGCGACAAATCAGGCGAAACGGCGCTGCAACCAGTTGCACATTTGATGAAACAGGGCTTGAAAAAGCGGCAATGGATTTGCAAGCTTGCTTCCGTGGAGAAGGCCCACGAAGTGGCGCATGCACATGGACGCTTCCCAGGCGGAACCCAGGCGGATCCCAGGCGTCACAGTCACAGAAGAAAAGACTGAGAGACGCAAGCACGCCTCAGCCAAACGCTCCAGGTAGCGCTTCTTGTCAAGGAGCTCAGGGGCACGACACAGCCTAAGTGTAAGTGAAGCGTGAAGCGTGTGAATGCTGTGGCAGGTTTGAGGTCGCTGCTTGAGCTCCTGAGCCGGAGTGAGCTTTGTCAGCGCCTTCGTTCAACATGCCGATCAAGCGTCTCGTGCAACTGGGGGGCTCGCTATGACTTTGTGGTTATAACACGCTCGCGGCCATTCACTGGTAACTCATCCGGTTCCTGAAAGAACGCTGTCCAAGTTTCAAACTACAATCCTACTTACATGACTCCGGGCACTGGGTAGCATTGCTGATGGGCAGGATCTTTGCATCATGGGCTCACGCACCGACAACACAAGCAGAGTCCTGCTTAGGCTCTGCAGCGTTTACAACCTCAACACTCCGAACTGCAACGTGTCTTCTTCCATACTCATGGGCCACGTGACTGCCTTCATGGGTCCACCGTTCTTACTTGCGTAACACGGCACCACACGCGGCGACTACTGCAGCGGGTACTCCGGCATACGTTTGCCCGGCTCGGTCAGCAGCTGGCAGCTTCAAAACAACGAAAACAGCTCCGAAAACGAGATGCGCGAAGGGGGTGGAAATATCTGACACGAAGCACATGGAAGAACGCGTGCAGCACCGTCCACTCATCTTCGATGACACGGCAAGAACAAGGATCTCTTGTCAAACACCTCCCGTTCGGCAGATAGGTTTGAGCAGCCAGGACGTTCTATCCTCTGGCCCGTAGCGCGATCTATGCACAAGTAATGGGTTCGTGCACATCGGCAGGTGGCTGCTGTCAAACATCCTCAAACACCGTCGCGCTCTTTCAACCCTGCTGCCCCCACGCCTTCAGATGCTCGATCTCCTTGAGTTTCTTCTTGCAAAGGTTGTGCTGGTTGCGCTGCGCCTGGCATCGATCTGTCCCTCTACTGACACTGACGCCCCGCAGTAAGCTTGCACTTCCGGCGCCGGTGCGTGGCAGACACTGACGACTCCATGCAAATGAAAGCTCTTGTCACAAAATGTCACAAACTCAGGCGGAGGCCGGGCTAAGCCGCTTCAAAGGGTTGCCTCGAGCTGCCAAGCTTGCCCATGGAACCCCAACGGACTTCTCGCTAAATGTTTACTACGACCCATATCCTTCACAGCAATGATCAGCAACGCATGCTGATACAGCCATGCAATCGCCATGCAATAGCCATGTTTCAAGGCCACTCGAGCGCTAGTCACCGCTCGTCCACGCAAACGCGGTGGAGGGTACTGAGGCATGAGCCTTGCGGCAGCGGCTCAGAAACCTGCGAATGCACCACAACACAACGTAAACCCAACGTCTCTTGCGACCGACACCTAGCACTAGGACCTCAGTCTATCAACGTGAGGATGAGCAGGCATTCGTAGCAAAGCCACCCTCAAGGTTCCTGACCCCAGCGCGATGCCTCCAACCCAGAAGCTGTCTAGCCACGCGTGCGCAGCATACTTCAAATCCGACCAAGTCCTGCCAGTAACGTTTCTGGCCTCCGTGCCGCCCTGGCCCGCCATGAAAACCTGCGAGAAACGAGAGTGCAAACCATGCGGGCCCCGGAACAACAGCAGCAGATGCGCCCTTCACAGCAACCACTACCTGACAGACCGTTTCCAAAACCCCTGACTACGAAGCTGAGCGCTTAGCGTGCCTGGGCTGGGGGCTCAGACATGGCCCCCGTCCGGCTAAACTAAGGCTGCCACATGGCGGCTGTTATTGAGCGCCGTGCCGGAAGCCCAATGCTCACCTGCAGAAGGCATGTGAAGCGAAGGTTTCGTGTAGACGCGGCACACACACACAGCTTAAATGTGGAGCGACATCGCTGAAGGCACTTGCATACCATTTGGAAAAAGATACCCGAATCATTGGATGAACGGAGATTAAGTTTGGGCTAATCTACCAGCACACCTTTTTCCAGGCTTGAGCCAACAACGATATCGTAAGAAGTGAAACATACATCCTGTAACCTATGAAAACTCTCACATCGAATCACCCCTCCTAGGCCAGGTGATGGGTTTTCCATCCAGTGGCCTCTAACCTTCAAAGTCCTCTACTCCTGTTGTTGGCCTTTGCTTTCACACCAGTTGCTTTCCTCCTTCAGCTCTTTTCTCGTAGTGCTTCAGACCCATGGTCTTCAAATGCTTTTCAACGGCAATCTCGGGCAGTGGTTTCGTACACAGATCCGACAGGTTCTTTTCCGTAGCGACTCGCTCGAGCTTGAGCTCGTTGCGTGCTACTTTCTCTTGAACCCATAGGTATCTTGTTTGTACGTGTCTGGTTTGTCCCAGACCTTGCCTTGAGCACGTACCCCTTGCGGCACTGCTGTCGCTGAGGATCCGTAGGTTCACTTGGATACCCCAATCGTGCAGTAGGGCCTGTTGGCTCAGTCCAACTGCACTGGCTTTCACTATCGCGTAGAATTCACTTTCTCCAGACGACAGACTCACGGTTGTCTGCACGTTGGAACTATGCTTGATACAGTGTGAGCCATACATGGTCACAATTCCCGTTGTGGACCTCCGCGTGATGAGACAACCAGCGTGGTCTGAATCACAGTACACGGTCAGGTCCTTTTGGAATCGTTGAGGATGGTACTCGTATACCAGTCTTGGCTTTCCACTCAGGTATCTTCCAAGCCTCTTCAAGTCCGACCAGGCAGCTTCATGAGGTGCCTTCATGTGCCTGGCCAGGCTCTTTGTGGCTTCCGCGATATCTGGCCGATCTTGTGCCAAAAACGCGGCTCGCATAGTTATTGAGCGATAGCTTCGCTGCATCGCGTCGTTCATTGGTGGCATCTCTAGGGTCTTCATTGCTTCTCCCTGTTTCTTCTTTTCCGCAGGTGTCCTTACGGCCTTGGCCTTTTCCAAACCAAGCTCTCTGACTAGAGCTTCCACATGACGGGGATCTGCTTCATAGGTAACCTTGCCGGTCTCCTTGTCGTAGCAGATCAAACGGTTTAACACGACCATCTGGTCTCCATGTGTTGGTCCGATATGTCCGTCACATCGATACTCATACCGTTCGCTCAGAGCTTTGTCTAGATACGCATGGCCTTCGTCATCTGCCAAACAAAAGAAGTCGTCACCATGCACCAGAAGTCTGACATCTTCCTTCTCGCTGTAGAAGATGCATGGCCACGCCTTTCCAGCGCGGAAATCGTGCTTTGCCATAAGTTCGCTGTAGTCTCTTTGCCAAGTACTTGACGCGTCACGGGTTCCATACATGGTCTTGAGTAGAAGTCCGCACTTTCCCGGAGATTCATCTCCTTCTGGAAGTGTCACAAAGATTCTACGAGTTGCACGACCATAGAAATGGGCACGGCTGATGTCTATCAACCGCAAGGACAGCTTGCCTCCTCTTCGCGAAACGCGTAGAGTGGTCATGAGTGAACACAGAAGCTTCACTGCCTCAAGTGGCGGCATACTGCTGAACAACGCATGTTCAGGCAGCAAGGCTGCTTGCCCTTGAGACTTGACTTCTCGAACTACAAGTCGGCTTCTGTAGTTCTCGTTCACATTGTCTCCCTTGTTTCTGTCTACCCACTTCAACGTGATGGGTGGCCTTCCGGTTTCTTGCCAGCAAGTCGCTTCGTCCACTTTGGTATAGACGTTCTGTTTCTTCACCCATTCGAGTTCTGTCAATCGTGCCTTCGCTACCTTCTTTGAATCGAGTTCTGCACCTGTATTTGCATCGATGACCGGTTCTTTGACGTAGAGCTCATCTGCCTTAGGCAACGTCTCGTAATGATGTTCTTCGAAGTTCGGTTCTTCATGAGGGTCAGGTCCTCCAACTGAACCAAGCTCTTTGAGTTCACCATCAAGCACTAGTTGTGCTTTGATGCCTTTGGCAATGGCTTGCACGAGTTTCGGAGGGTAACACAGTCTTGCTGCAACTTTCCCCTCCTCGAACGCAAGTTCTCTCTTCCAGACTCTTTCTTGTCCTGTTCGAGCACATGTCTTTCGCAGTGCTGCTGCTAGCGCGGCAGAGTTGGTGATCCATCTCGTTCTTTTCTTGAAAGAACTTCCTTCCAAGTTTCCACCGCTTTTGTTCACGGTCCATCTGCAAATTGGACCTTCGACCACATAGGACTCCTCACTCAGTTGTTGGTACTGGGTGTGCTCCCAAGATTTTGCACCCTTGGGGCACTCTTGGAGGTAGTACTTTTGCTGCCCTAGTTGGAACTTGTATGCTTCGACGCAGGTTCTCACCTGCTTCCTTCCAACTTCCAGCACCGACTTTTCTTTCTCTTTGCTCACCTTCTGAAGAGAATTGTAGCTTCGTTGGACTCCCGCAAATGGTCCATCGGGCGGTAGTCCCACCACGAGCGTTGGCTTCTCTTCTTCGAGCTTTCTGAACAAGGCTTCAACTTCATCTTGCTTCTGAAGTCGCCAGCCCTTGTCTTCCACACTTAGGCACAGTCCTTCATTCAAAGGAACAGATGCTTTGACATCCACACCTAGTGAACCAACCAGGTTGGATATCACTTCTGCTTCCTTTCTTGTGCATCGCATGCCTCGTGAGTGGAATTCATGTTCCAGGTAGCTCACATCGTCCAACTGCTCTGGATCTTTCACCTGCTTGTACGACAGGTCCGTGTGTTCTCCACCAGATCCTGAACTTCCACCTTGAATGTTTGCTCTGACAATTTCGGGCTCATCTGTTTCTTGTTCTTCATGATAAAGATCTTCGACATGTCTTTCCGCTTCTCGCTTTCGAGACTCTCGACTTGGGTTGTCCACCTGCATTTGGCTTGGACGTTCCAATGGTGCTCCTGCAGCTTCTTCAGCTGCAACCTCTCCTTCTGCAGGTTGGCCTTCCAACGCGGGTTCTTCTTGAGCTTTTCTTTTCTTCTTGTTCTTGGCGGAATAGTCTTTGTCCATTCGTTCTATCGCCCTTTGAACTCTCTGTTTTCCTTCTTCGGTTTCCATCAGGTGTCTCTGAATGCGAAATCGACATTCCTCATTGTGGCTTCGCTGTGGCAAATCCAACATCTGTGCTTCGCAGCCGGGGCACAGTGTGGTGTAGCCATACTTCGCCAAGTCCGACTTGAGTACATAGAGGCTTCTCGCTCTAAACTCTTTCGGATCAGGCTTTGGCTGTTCTCCCACAAGTTCCGGCATGTCCACTCGGTTCGGTGGCGCACGTTCGACTGGATTGGTCCATTTCCACGGTAGACCTCTCAGCTGGTCGAATCCTTCTTTCGACCATCGGTCTTCTTCGGCTCGCCTATGGAGAGAATGTCCTTTGACGACTCCAGTGGGTGTCATCACGAGGAGGTCCGCGTTCCTACTCGCTGTCCCCACATATCGTCCCATTGCTACTCGCGGTTCCAACGGTGAGCTTCTTTTCTTGCCCAAAGCACCCACAGGCTTGAACAAGATCTGCTCGCCAAACACCACGGTGGGCCTTCTCCATTCTCTTCCCACGGCTCTTTGGTAGGCGCTCTTGCCGTCGTCACCTATTCGAAACCTTGTCAACAGGAACGCTGCGTGCCTCGCTATCCACGGAAGTATGCTGTGGTTCGGGTCGATCTTGAGCTGTAGCTTGCTTTCCAAGTCCGACAGCGTAGCTCGGATCATTCTCTTTACCTCTCGAACCGCACATTCAGCATAGCCATTGCTCGGCGCGTTCTCTTCGTTGACAGACGTAGGCGATTCCTTCAAAGTGATCTCAACGTCCCTCATGTTTTCGACCACGGCTTGCTTTAGTGCAACAAGCGCTGGTTCGCCATCTGAAAAGAGTATCATGCGTTTCCATCCTGCTTCACGCACTATGGAACAAAACCAGTTTGTGTTGAAAGGATGGACTCCTTTCTGCGGCAACGAGGTTGCCCATGTCCTTCTGGTTCTGTCGCATCGCACCACTAGGTGCGGCATGATGTCCTCTCGTTCTCCGTCGCTGCCTAGGAAGAAGTAGTCGGCGTGCAAGGTTGGTACTTCTCCCTCTCCAGAACGAACCGTTCTTGGATGGCTTTGCACATTGCCGCGTGCGCGCATGCAATGCACACACCAGCTCCTGTGAACCGCGTGTCCGCTCGCCTCATGCTCTGCGATCTCTCTCGCAGTTGGCTGCGACGGTCCCAAAGGAACGTTCACTTTTCTTTGTTCTTCACCAGGCGCGTCTTCTGGCTCTTCCATCCTTCCTTCAGTCCTTTCCTCTCCTTCATTCATTCCTTCTTCCTCTCTACTCTCAACTCTCTCTCTCTCAACTACGGGCCCCTGGTTTTCGCCAACCGGCGGAGCCTCCAGGTCACTAGGTGAAACCTCTACAGGTGAAACTTCGCTACCTCTCACCTTTTGTCTTACGCGTCTTGCTGCCCCGGAAAAGGGGAGCATGACAAGTCGAACACATAGACTCCGCGCCTTACGTGGAGTCTGGTAGCGCTGCGGGGGTCGTCGCGGTATTTTCTCACCAGCTTTCGCATCATCATGTTGAACTCCTTGCCAAACGCATTTTGCTTCGGGATAAGATACCCACCATTGTCTCCGAGGACGGCGTGGTGAGTCCTGCAAATATCCGAAGCCGAACCAAGAACACGATGGACGTCCGCCAGACGACCATGCAGTGTTGCATTGTTCCCGGTCGACGTGGTGCCCTTCAACTTGATGGGTCCATGGTCTGCGATGTTTTCACCGCTCGCTGTTTTGAACTTCATTTCTTCTCTGGGCTTCTCGTTTCCGTTGCCAAACTTCAGTGGCACTACCGTCACAGCGGCTCCGCTGTCGAAGTTCACCTCGACGCGTTCCTGGCCGCGTTGCGAACCACGGCCTCCGGACGCCGAAACGGCGTTCGTGGCCATAGTCGTCTCGACCGACGCCACAAGTGCTTCTCCTTCAGGAGGGTCCCGAGGTTCATCGGGATCTCTCGGTGGCTTCTTCCAGTCGCCCCAGTCTTCGTCTTCATCTTCTTCGTCTTCGTCTTCTTCGGGCGGCTCCTTTCTCTTTTCTCCTCGGGTTTTGCTTTCTTGCTTTCCCTTCTGCTTGCCCTTTCCTTTGTTCTTGTTTGCAAGCCTTTTTCTTCTCATGGCTCTCTTTTCGTTGACTCTCCGCCGTCTCTCCGGGTCAGGCGGCTTTTCCACCTTCTCCTTTCTTGGCTTCAGCTCTTCTTCGTACTCCTGGCGGTAGTACGTTCTCTCCTTTCTCGTCAGCGGCACCGCGACCGAACTCCGGACTGTGCTTGGGTCGATCTCCTTGCCGCTGCTGTCGATGGTCACGGTCTCGACGGCGTCGACTTGCACTTTGTCTTCTTTGCGCCCGGGCACTGTGGTGAAGTGCTTTGCCCAGGCCTCTTGCATCTCCACATTGAGCGTGGCGCGCTCCTTTTCTCCTTGTTGGCGCTGCTGTGCAGCTCGCCTTCTTCCTTTCTCTTCCTTCCACGCCTTTGCGTGTGACATCCCTTTTGCGATGGCCGCACGATATCTCGCATCGTGCACTGACTGGTCCAGTCGTCCTGCTGCTTTGGGCGCAGGCCTGGCCAATCCGCGTTCTTTCAACTTTGCGATCTGTTCGAGGATGCTTTCCAGCTCGGCCTCGATCTGCGACTTTTCCTCAAAGTCGTCTTCGCTCATTTCTTCTTTCTTGAACTCCTCGAGCCTCTTTAGCAGGCGGCCCCGATCTTGCGTGAGACTTCCTAACAGGCTGCCCTGCAGCATGTTCTGCATCGCCGCCGACGAAGACATCGACGTGGCGTCTGCTGTCGCGTCACTCGCTTTCGCAATAGCCTTTGCTTCAGCCTTAGGCTTTGCTTCCGCTGGCGCAAGCTGTTGACCTTGCAGAGCTCGCATCCTTGCTGCGTGCTCTTCCCTAGCGCGGGCCTTTTCTTTCTCGCTTGGCTCCTTCGGCCGACGTTCCGGCTGGAGCTCTTCTACTTCTAGCTCAAAGCCTCCAGCGGGCGAAACGCCCGAGTGGCTTGTTGGCTTCTTTCTTCCGGGAGGTCCTTGCTCCTCCTCTTCTTCGTTGACCTCCACGGTCTCGTCGCTTTCCTTGGGCTCCTCTTCCTCCGACCATTCTTCCTGGCCGCTGCTCGGGGGCTCCACACTCTTTCCTTCGGATTCTTCCGAAGCTTCTTTCTCTTCCTTGGGTCCTTTCTTGCTGGGTCCCTTTCTTTCTCCCGGTGGCTTTAGCATACCTTCTCTACGCAGTAAACTTCTCGCGAGTCCAACTGGCGGCGGCTTCTTGAGGCTCTCGTATTCTTTCCTTTTCCTCGCAAGGTATTCTTGCACAGCTTTCCGAGTCTTTCTTCTTCTGCTCCGACACGTGCTGCACGCACTTCCTTGCTTCTTAAGGATCTGTTGTCCGACGGTTCCAGGCGGCAGTAGGTGACGGATTCTCTCTTGGTGCTCTCTGCGTTGGCTGTAGTACATTTTCGCCCAATCTTCCTTCGATTTTAGTTCTCGCATCACCCTGAGCGTCAGCTTCTTCTTTGGCTTGTATCTGCTTCCTTTGGAATCCTCGCTTCCGCTCGCTTTCTCTTTATTCCTTTCCTCTTCGTGCTTCTTGGGGTCCTCGCTTCCGCTCGCTTTCTCTCTATTCCTTTCCTCTTCGTGCTTCTTGGGCTCCTTGCTTCCGCTCGCTTTCTCTCTATTCCTTTCCTCTTCGTGCTTCTTGGGCTCCTTGCTTCCGCTCGCTTTCTCTCTATTCCTTTCCTCTTCGTGCTTCTTGGGCTCCTTGCCCGAAGTCCTAGGTGACTTCGGGGCCCTTTCCAGTGACCTTCCACGCTCCCGACTTCCTCTTGTCTTGACTGGCGGTGGTCCCTTTGGTTCCGCGGGCCGAACGGACCCTGGAACTGGAACTCTCGCACCGGACTTTGGCGTGGAACTTTCACTGGTGCACTTTGGTCTCGGCAGCATTTGCGCTGCCTTCGCTCGAACCGACGGTGGCTTCACCGGTTCAGCCGGCTTTGTGCTTCCTGACACTTTCTCTTTGGGAGGCGGCGGCCCTGAAGGCGGTCTCACGAAGGCAGGTCTAGGCCGCGCACCGAGCGAAGCACTCGAGCTGGCCTTGGCCTCCTCCTTTGCCTTTGCCTTGGCTGGCACTGCTTCTTCTGGTTGCGTATTCCGTGCTTTAGCTCTCCTAGCCTGGAGCGCCGCCAAGCTTTCAAGCAATGCGTCCTGTAGTTCTTGTGCCTCATCGTCGTTCAGTCCTTCCAGCTGTTCCGGATCTATTCCTGCATTTCGCAGGCGGTCCCCGAAACCCGGCATTTTCCTTGTTGGGCCTCCGGACCCGCTTGGGCCCGAAACGGCTGCGGAACTCTTTCCCTTCTTTGTCTCTCTTTCTTCTGTCTTCTCTTTTGTCTTCTCTTCCTTCTTCTCCTTCCTTCCTTCCAGGCCACCTATTAGCAGCCCATTTCCTTCGTTCCATTCGCTTTCCTCCGGCCATTCCTCCCAGCTTTGTTCTCCTGTCCATTCGTCTTGCTCCCAAGGCTCTTCGTTCTGGGCTCCTTCTTCTTGCCACTCTTCGTCACCAGTGGCTTCTTCTATGCTGTTGGTGTACTTTCCTTTTCCTTTGCCCTTCTTCGCCTTGCCTTTGCCCTTTCCGCTGGAAGTCTTTCCCTTGCCTTTTCCCGCTTTGGGACCTTTAGTCCCTTTGGGATTCGGCTGACCTCCTTTGGGGTTTGGGTACCCCTTGGGCTTTCCTTGTGTTCCTTTCCCTGGACCTTGTTTTGAGTAGCTTCCCTTAGCGCCCTTTGCTGAAGACCAGCAATCGGCTGCCTTGTGTCCTGTTCTTCCGCAGTTGTTGCAGGTTCCCAGAAACTTCGTTTTCTGCTGGTGCTTGCCTAGGCCTTTCCCAACAGATGAAACATCCATCGGGTCGCCGAGGGCTTCTTTGCCAGCAATTTGGGTCGTCGAAAACGCTTTCAAAGTCTTGCCCGTGCGGTGTTCCACATACCGTGTAACTTCTTCAAGCAAGTCTTCGAAACCCGCAAACTTCGACTGGTTCAACTGCACATGAGCTTCCAAGTCTTGTGGCAACATGGATTCCAAAGCTGCAATCTTGATCTCTTCTGGAATCTTTCCTCGATTTCCGGAAGCATCCTTTCTTTTCTCATACGATGCGATTGCATCAAGCCATTCTTCGATCGCTTGAGGCAGGTGTTCAAGCTTTTGTTTCTGGGGGTTGATCACCGACTTGAGCATGGATCTTTTCCTGGATGCTGTAGCCGGATCATACCTCCGAGCTAGTCTTCGCCAAGCCTCAAACCCGTTCGTGTTGCAGTTGATGACAATCGCAAACGGCTCTTTCGCAGTCACCATCTGCAATGCAGACGACAACTCCATTGACTTGTCGAAGAGCTTTGGTATTCGATCTATTTCGTCGGCCTTCTCGCCAAAAGCTTCCGATAGCTCATCCGACGAAATGCTTTTCTCTCTTTCTTCGCACCATTCCAGAACTTCTCGTAGCTCTGGATAGATTGAGCACACATATGCCGTCATTCTGTGCCTCCAAGGAAGATACTGTTCTGCATCTCCCGAAAACATGCTCGGCTTTCCAAGCCCTTTTGTGTCTACCAACACCATCTTTCCTTTGTCGCTCGACGAGCTTCTCATAGCCTCCACCAGTTCTTTGTCTCGCTCTCTCAATGCATTCTGCAATGTTTGTCCCATCTCTCGGACAACATTCGGTATCGTGCCCAGCTGCCCTTGCGCAGCTAAGGCCGCTTGCGTAGCCTCGTTTGTCCGCTGCTGACTTTCTGTTCTCACTTGCTCCAAGTCCTGTTGGTGTTGCTGCGCTTGGCGCGCGAGTTCTTGCCTCAGCGCTGCAATTTCTTGCACTAGCTGTTCTGGAGTTGCCATTTCTCCTTTCTCTACCTCCTTGGGCCGATTCGCCCAAGTGGTTCAATCCTCCCGAGGGTGTGTCCTTGACAACAACCTCCTGAAAGTCTGCGTCCCCAGCAAAGTCTGAAGATGCAATCCCAAATTGTGCCAGATGCGTTGCAGCCGGCGAATCCGCTGCAAACGTCGAACCAATCGTGCCCAACGTTCCTGGATGATCCTGCTTCTTCGTGCTCTGCGGCAACAGGTTCCACACATACGAAGCGGCTTCAACCGAGTCGCTCCGCTACCATGAACGGAGATTAAGTTTGGGCTAATCTACCAGCACACCTTTTTCCAGGCTTGAGCCAACAACGATATCGTAAGAAGTGAAACATACATCCTGTAACCTATGAAAACTCTCACATCGAATCATTGGAACTGTAAGTGCTTTACTAATTTACTCGGAGGTCGAAACTGTTGCAGGAAAGATTCCTGTGCCAATGTCCAAGTGGAAGAACACCCTCTACGAGACCCTGTGTGGGAAGATATGAGAAGATCTCGTCAGATACATCCAAGCGGCCAAGTAGGCGAGCTCCATCACACTGCCAGGAGGAGATGCTACAGCGAACTATTGCAACTGTGAAGCCCAAGCTGTCGGTCACGATCATAAGCGGGGCGGACTCAAAAAAATCTCTTGACAAGGAAACAACATTAGAGTTGCATAGGGGTTCTCGGCGCACGCTAGTGGCAGCTGTACTCGCGATTTCCCAAACGGCTGTGGCTGGGATTCTTCATCTGTTCAAAAGCGGAAGGTTTCTGTAGACGCTGTGACGCCCGTCTGTGACTGCTGCCTCTCATTTGTAGATTTCACGTGCCCTAAAATGTTGCACTTTTAGGATGACCCGCTGTAGTCCTCAATTGGTTCATGGTCGAGACTGGTATCATTGTTGAAGCCCCTTTGGTGCCCCTGATCACATTCTGAAGTCAAGATAAAGCAAATGCTGTTTTCAACTCCCAGTTCCCTTTTGCTCGATGCTATCACATCATCTGGCTGCGACGGAGTAGACAGTGGAGCAGATCGCAGGGATGTTTGGCACGGATGAGTCTCCGGATTATGCGTTGGACTGCATGTGCCCAATCCCTGTCCGCTGGGCAGCGCCACACCAGGGCATGAAGGAATGGATTATGAGGAGAATGTGGGGTGGGCTCCAGACAAGCACACTCTTGAGCAGGAAACCACTGCCCCATTCCCATCAGCATCTGCTCTTGCAGACCAATGCAGGACCCAGGAGTTCCCAGGACCGCAGCTCGAATTCCGTGCCTCAGAAGGGCACCTCAGACCGGGTAGTGGGGGGGGTTTGGTTGCGGAGTGGGCATGGGAATTAGCTACTCCTGCCATTCTCGTACATGTCTGTAGACCCCAGAACATCACAAAACCCCTACAACGCCCAGTAGAACCCCAAAACAAGCTGGGACTGGATGTTGTGGCTTACTTGAGATCTCACACTCCTGAGTGACCTCATTCTGGATACCGTGTGTTCAGGCAAGAGTGGTGACATAGAATCTTTTGTTTCGATCTAAGTATTACATGTTCTTCACTTTCCCCAAGGGATTTAGCATATTGGACTTCCTATTGCGACTGGCGAAACACGAAACATCTTCTGTTGAGATCGGCATGCACCCCGATCTGCAATCTCAAAAGCCTCTGCACCAAAATATGAACAGATGGTTCAGAGCTGTTGTCTTTGCTGAGGACCTTTGCAAACATTGTCCAAAGTGTAGTGTTCTTCTGTGCTCAGGTGTGCCCAGCAAAGGCTGTCGCCTGGTGTGAAAGCAGCAGCGCGTGCCTGAATTTATTTGCTGCCCTACGGTAGGTAATGGCAGTTGCCAGACGAAGCCGGCTTTCAACATGACCTGATGAGGCGCTCAAGCCAAATGCAGTGATTTTCAGGCCTCATCTGCCCCTTCTTGCGCTTGAAACGCATTGACTCAATGACCATCGAAACGAAAGGCAAACAAGAGCAGGACTCGACCTTTCCTAGCTTCGAAGTTGAGATCAACCGTAACCAGCCTGATTATGAATAACCGTGCAGCTTAAGTGCCGGCGTTGCCACATGCCAGGTGTTTGATTGCACCATGAAGGGCCCATGCGACATGTTCGCACATCCCGAGGCAGATCGAGGATTGCGAAGTTGACCCGTGGAGTTCTGCAGTCAAGTCCGCACCTCGACTGCTTTCTGGAACATGTGCAGGTGGTTGGTGGCTGTTGTCTAATTTGAACTGGCCATGGGTGGGTCGCTTGGTTCAGTTTTGGGGATTCAGGATTTCAAAGTCAGGGTCTGACCGAGGCATTTCGCAAGGGCCCCATACAAGAAGCCGCTTCGCCTGGCCTCGGGGCTATGCTGTTCGATGAACAGTTCAGACTTGTGGCAAACACAAGCAGCTGAAAAAACCTCTCAATATCGGCCACGGGGCTCATTCCTCTGCTTTTCAATGAGAGGGTTATAAGAAGAGCCCGCTCTCTCGGGAACATCATGCATCTGATTCCCAATCTCGTTCTGTCCGAAAGATAGAAAAAAACTTGCACGCAGAGAAAAACCTGTGACCGATGGCAACCACGAGGTTGCACGAGCAAGGGTTGGAGGTGCCCCCCCAAGCGTACACGCTGGCATTACATGGCCCTGCTCATTCGACATCATCAGAGGCTTGGAAGTTGGCGCGCACACGCCGCTTTTCAGTAGTTTTGCGGTGGTTCGGGGGTTTAGGGTTTAGGGCTTCTGGAAGCCTAGGGGGACTCCCCCCCCCCTCCTTCCTCCTTCCGCGCCAAAAAGGAGCGACTCTGCCACCAAGGAATTGCAGCTGCGCTGGAGACAAGCCGTAAATCCCGGAGCACAAAACCCTGCAACTTGCAGCGGCAAGGAACCCCCTAAGCCCTGAAACCCGAACACCCAAAAAAAAACACCCCCAAGAAGCCCTAACAGAACCCTCGTTTCGCGCTTGGCTCAAGGCCAAGGAGAGGGCTGCCCGTGGCCTCTGGATGACAATAGGGTTTAGGGTTTATAGGGTTTATGCGGCATGGACTTTAGGTACAATGTTTTTGCCTGTCTTTCCCCATTCAAACAACCATTAGATGCTCTGTGCCTGTAGCATGTCAGAGTCGGGCTCTTGCTGCAACTATGGAAGAACGAACCGCCGGAAAAGTCAAAAGACTACAAGGGAGAGACAAGAGAAGGAGGGGGTTCCGCTCCTCTTTCCAACACCTTATTCATTCCTTTCCTCTGTTTATCTTTTCTCTTTGCTTCTGACAATGATGGCAGCGGAGCGGGTTTCTTTCTTGCCCTCTCATGCAGAAAAGGAAGCAAAAGCAAAAGGATAGAGGATGAAGAGCTAACAAAAACGGAGCTCATGCCCCGGCCTATGTCCATTTTCTCCTCTCTTCCTTGCTGCTTTTTCGTTGATCTACTCAGATGTTAAGCGTCAGCGAAGTGGAGTGGCGGCGGGAGAGTTCCTTTCCCAGTCTCTCTTCCCTCTCTCTTTTATCAGAGAATGAGAGAAAGAGAGAATGAGAGAATGACAGGAGTTCATGAGTGGGGGCTTTGTGAGGCCCCGGGGAACCAATCACATGAAGATCCAAGATGCCGTGTGCGCGAATCTCCCAGTAGCAGTCCTTCTTGTTCCATCATTGAAAGGTGTGGCAACTTTCTTTTGCTTTCCTCTCCACCTTAGCCTGTTCTTCCTCTCCATTTCTGTTCTTCCTATCTCATTCGCGAGAAAAGGAGGAGAGAAGAGGAAGAAGGAAGGAGGACAGAAAGGAAGAGGGGAGACAGAGTGACAAGTTCTCCTGTTCCCTCTTCATACCTGTTTTGTCGCACATTTTTCCTCTGATCTCTTCCATGTCCTGTTCTGTTGAAACATATACAGCAGTGCCATAACATGACTGCGCCTAATCGTTTCGTCTCCTCCTAATTGTTCTGCTTGTTGAAACAGAAGGGAATATGATTAACAAATCCATTCCCATGTGGCCTTTCAAAGACTTGAACAAGTCCACTCCTGTGGACCCTTCAACCACCATGAACTCCGGGACATCCTCCTACTTGTTTACATGATTCCTCCCAATTGTTGCGACTCTTCCAAATTGATTTGCGATTTGAAACTGAACGAAATATGATTAAAAAATTCATTCCGTTGGACCTTTCAAAGATGGGAAACAGACATGCACGATTGACAAGTCCATTCCTGTGGACTCTGCAACCTTGTAAAGCAAAAATGTTCCCCAAGCATTCTCCTAATTGTGTTGCTTATTGGGGCGTCCCCTAACATGACTCCACCGATCTGTTGTTTTGCACTCCTCCGAGTTGTTTTGCATGTTGAAACAGAAGGAAGTATCCAAACCGTTGAACCCGGCCAAAACTTTGAAAGAGACATGTAATGGTTAACAAATCCATTCCTTTCCCATAACATGACTCCTCCTAATGTCTTGTTTCTTGAAACAGAAGGATATATCGTTAACAAACCCATCCCCTTGAAACGCTTGAAGCAGACATGTATGGTTAACAAAACCCTCTAGAACACTCCAAACAGACATGTACCCCCACCCATACATCCTCCTAATTGTTTCTCTTCTTGGGGCGTCCCATCGCATGACTCCTCCTCATTGGCTTGGACTCTTTGCACTGGATGACATGGAAACTCTTTCTTGGCAAAGGCTAAACTCGATGGACACGTAAGAAAAGCGCCATGTTGTTGCGGACACTTCCGTGTCCATCGAGTCTTTATCCACAAAACAAAGCGCCAGCTTGCTACGGACAATTCCGTGTCCATCGAGCCTGTGGCAAGAAAAACCTGCCATCTGGAAACTCCTTTCTTGACATAGGCTCGATAAATGGTTGAAATGGTTGAAATGGACATACTCAAAATGGTTGAAACTTTTGAAATGGTTAGAAGCCTCTCAGGGTGTTTAACCATTTCGACCATTTCAACCATTGTGAATCCTTCTGGCTTTTCCCGCAGGCCGGGATGTAAACCATTTCAATCATGTCAACTATATTGAAACCGTT